ATCGCGTATTGAAACGAATGCAGAAACTCCGTCGCCAGATCAATCGAAACCGGCAGTTCGATCCCTCGGGTTACGTGCGGCACGTCGTATGGGTTCATCGCGGCGATTTCATCCACCGACCTTGTCACCCGGTTGAGCATATCCAATGCAAATCTGTCTGGGTCTGGAAAGTTAGGACTTGTGATGCGGATTATGGAAAAGGCAAAAATTCGTATTGCGTGAGCGCCAAAAGCTGTTACGCAAATAGGGAATGTCTCATGCAGGGTAGGCATCCGGAGGCCTGCGCAAAACCTGTATATGCTTTTGCGTGCATTACAGACTGTTCGCACAATCCAACAGATGCATGACAAACAAGGGCACTATTCCAGACCCAGACCTATTTGCATTTGATAGAGCACTTCCTGCATTTCCGGGTAGTGCTCGTACCCGTTGCAGACCGCTTTCAACTCGAATTCCGCGATAAAAACGGCGTAATTCGTAGATACCTGCTCCTATCCTATGTAAAAACGTCCCCACCGCAAAACTGTCATGCAAATCAGCATGCTGAAAATGTTTCTCATGCGAAGCAGCTCCATGAGACGCATTTTCTAGGGGTCGTGTTTTGGAATTTGTCATGCTACAATCAGCAAGATGCACCAGATCAGTGATGCTGTTGGGCGAGCTCAAACAGCACTACACTACGAGTCCCAATTTGTCATGCGAAGCAGCCAGAACTTGTGGATTTGTCTAGCCGTTTCCCCATCTTGACTATGGGGTCGTGGGGACGTTTTTACACAGGATAGCTCTCCGCGCGTGTTCAGTGTGATCTTCTTCTCCAGGTCCTCGTCGGCGTAGGATAGCAACCCGTTGTTCAGCAACTCTTCGGGCAAGGTATTGTCGTAAAGCTGCTGCACGTTCAAATCGTAGTACCACCAACTCTCCCCGACCACCGCGGTTTTCCTCTGTTCCGGGAAAATCTCCTGTCTCGCAAAGGCGATGGACTGCAGCTCTAAATTTGACAGACAGTCCGCGGGTAGGAATTCTTTCTCCGGGTCCGTCCAGTCGTATATCACACAGAAAAAAGCAGGCAGGTCATTCTCATTTTGATGTAATGCAAAAATAAATACACAAAAAAATCTGTATTGCATGTCCCAAACAGCATGCTCAGGGACCGCCCATGACAGATTTTTTTGTTTACGTATTTTTGCATCACAACTACAAATATGCCCTGCTAGCTTTTTTCTCTGGGTGGATATCGTACACGTAGCGGAGTTCGCCGTTCGGGTAGCAGGTGTAGGCGTTTTCCGTCGACGGGTAGTAGAAATTTTGACAGCGTAATATCAAATGCAAAAGTGTCTGGGTCTGGAAACTTGTGATGCAAGAAAGGAAATAGAGAGCAGACTCTAATGCGCCGCCAAGCATGGCAACTTTTTCCGTGGTTCTGAGTTGCGTACTCAGCATGAGAAACTGCGTTTTTGCATGACAAGCAAGAGGAGCTGGAGCTCTTTGCGGCCACGACGCAATACAAAGTTCAGAGTCATGCTAGACTAGCATGACAAATGCAAATCTCGCAATCTTCCAGACCCAGACATTTTTGCATTTGATACGTAAGTGGCACTTCCCATTCACGGAAATCGTGCGCCCCTCGAAGCAGCTCGCCCCGGGAACGTCGACCCAGCTCCACCAGAACCGATACGGATCGGAAGGTGCGGTGTATGCATTGCAAATGTGTCTGGGTCTGGAAGAATACAAACTTGTGATGCGCATTGCAGAACACAGAAAAATCTCTCATGCATAGGTAGCAAAAGCTGCCTGCTTTTGTCCCCAGAGTGGGGGATTTGTCATGCAGATTCGGCACTGCGGAAGCCTCTCGAAACCTGTGATGCTAGAGCTTCCATGCTAGACCTTCTGTGTCATGCAAAAACAGCATGACTCTTCCAGACCCAGACATTTTTGCAGTTGATACGGTGCAGAAGGGAACATTTTTCCGGCGGTAGCACCCGGTTCTGCTGTACCACTATGCATTGCAAATACGTCTGGGTCTAGAAAAACTTGTGATGCAGGGTGAATACCCAGAATGAGGCCATTTCGATTGACGACCAAGCATGACAAATTTTCGAGCTGCTATGTGTAGTTGCCTATTGTTCTGCATGACAAACTGCGCCAAAAAAAGTGGCGCTTGGGTAAGTAACGTGCCTGACAGATTTGAGATTCATGCTGACTGAGCATGAAAAGCCTTGCAGTGTTCTTCCCGACGCCGACCTTTGCAATGAATAACCACTATCCTGTGCAAAAGTATGAGTATCGCACTCGTACTAATTGCAAGTATGCATGACAAATCTTGTCCTTAGGGTAAAACAGCATGACAAATTCCAGCTCTCATGCTGAGCAAATTTGTATTGCAATTCATACTACTACGATACTTTTGCAATCAATAACCACGGCGCCATGACGACTTCGACCGTTTCCGGCCGGTATCAACTGTAAAAGTGTCTGGGTCTGGAAGATTTCCAGGCTTGTCATGCATATTTCGCATGGGCTATGATGCCTGCAATGCATGACCTCGCATGACACATTTTTTGCGGGTATCTTGATGCCTATCCCGCATGACAAATGCCCTCTCCGCGGAGCAAAAACTGGACGCCTCTTGTTGCTCATGCAATACAGATTTTTTTAGATTCCAGAAATAGCATCACAAGTTGCTTTCTTTCAGACCCAGACATTTTTGCAATCCATAGCCGGGACGCCGGCCCGTCGAAAAAGGTGTAGGGCGGGGTTTTCAAACTTTCGCTTTTCAGCAGTAGGTGCGAGACCCCGTAAATTTCGCAGTCGACGGTCGTCCCCTCGCGGACGCCGAACCCGGTGCAGGCCGGCTCTTGCAGGCATATGGAATTGAAAACTTGTACTAATGCTGGGTTGTGAATAGTGGGTGCTCTGTAAGGCACAGCCAAGCATGAGAAATATTTGCGCGGCTAAGTCTGTTGCGTTTTCCCTTTCCGCTTCCGCATGACCAACTACGTCTTTGCATAACAAGCAACAGGGTCCCTTCGTGGACACGCAGCACAAACTCTTTAGTCATGCCAGGCAAGCATAACAAATTTTGCATCCTTTCCACACCCAGTCCCAGACATATTTGCAATGCATAAGGCACGCTTGCTGGCAAAACTCCCAGGTTTTCGGCGGATGCAGCGCCCGCACCAGTCGCGCCAGCGTCCGCCCGTGGTGCCGGCAGTACCCCACGCCAAGTTTTTCAAACTGGTCGGAAACGGCCCCGGTAGGCGTATTAAACGCGGCGAGGAGGGCCGCGAGCTCATCGGGGGAAGGGTAGGAGACGTCTACTTGGGTGGTGGAGGAGGAAGCTGTAGGCGGTGTGATCCTCAGCAAAAAGGTCCCCACCCGCCCTAAGTTCTCATGCAAATCTGCAAGCCTCAGACACGTTTCTCATGCGCAGCCCCAACATGAGGAGCATTCTGTAATGCTCAAAATCTGGGATTTTGTCATGCTGGAATTATAATATTAAGGTGATCGATTTCTGATGTCAGGCTGCACTACCTGAATACGATTAAATTGCTCGCCCGAAGATGAACTTGTCATGCGCGACAGCCAAAAAATGCTGGTTTGTGGAGCAACTCTGGGGAAGAAGTGGGAACGTTGTTACAAAGGATACTTATCGTGCCGTTGCTTGTCGAGTTCGAAGTCGTGTAGTTGTATCGCGAGGAAAAATCCCCCCTCCCCCTATTGACAAGGTACGTTTTCGAAAATTTGTGTTGCTGATTTTTGTCTTGCAAGAAGGCAACTCCACAGGTTCCGCTGCATTATGCAGGCGGTTTGTCATGCTGTTGGGCCTACAGCACGGACGTTTTTCATGCTAAGCGACTAGGCCAGGGCCTCTCTACTCTGGCTTGATATGGGTCTGCAGTCCTCTCCAGCAAGACAAATCTGATTTGTGTACGAAAACCCAGCATCAGAAACATCGTTTTGAAGATATGGGGACTGGGGATTTTTACTTTTGATAAGTTGCTGGTGGCATTTCCAGCCTCGATGGTGCCGTTGCTGTTGTTAGCGGAGGCTTCGTGAACGAACAAGCCGCATAACGAGAACAGCTGCAACGCTGACGCACGACGCATCCTCCTTGTTAGTGCCATCCAGGGAAGAAGGGCCCACGCCCACCGCGAGTCCGGCGTCTACTGAGAAGCCACCTTCATCTTTTGATGTTGGTAGTTTTGCGCCACATAGAGTTTTACACGATGCAGTTCTAAGGGATGGCTTTTTCAACAATCCGGGTGTCTACTCCGATTAAGTACTTATGATGGTTTGTAGCAGGATGACCCCCTGCACTGCTTTCTCTCATCGATTGATTCACCTAGTCTATCATCGATTCTAGTCGTAAAAAAAAAACTCCCACAGTCCACCTCGACCCGGCAAGGCATCGATCCCCCTCAACAAGAAGATCTGGCCTTCTCTAGTACCAGTATCGGGAGGATCTTCGCGAAATAAGTGGAAAACAAATTGGATCTTTGGACCGAATCGACCGATCTACAGACAAGTTGAGGAAAGATCTTGCTCCAGATCCACCGCCGATCTCACCTCCTGAACGCGGTCCTCACGGAAAAAACTTTGCAAGCAAAAAACAGCACGAAAATAAAACACGCACCGATTGCTTGTTGAGCAATGGGAGGGACTAAAAAACGATGTTGGAGCGATCGTTATCAGACTAGTACACGACCGATAAAAAAGTAAACCGATTTGTATCAGAAAAGCTGATACTAGAGATGCGCAAGGAGCCGATTCGGATTTTTTTCGAAAGGCACGCGAAGGGGGCAGAGGATTCTTTACGAATGCTCGGTCGTATTATATGGATCATCTTCGCAACCGAAGTAGATTGCATAATTGTAGTGGCGATCTGCGAGCACATGCCGTGTATGGAAGTAAGAAGTGACACTAAAAGCCAAGACAATCGACGAAAATGAGAGACGCAGAAGCGCCCTCCACCCGAAGACGATCTCTTCGAAAGCGAATCCCCGAGGAACAAGAAACCGAGCGATTTCTCGTCAACATTATTTTGTCCAGAAAAACAAGTCGAAAACTGTTGGCCCGAGGCCTTCCTTGTTCGGTCTTTGAAGACTGACTCGCGTCGTGAGTCTTCTCTTTACTTTCGTGATAGTTAGTTGCACAGACACAAAGATGAGTCACCCGGTCGCGGCTCACAAGTGCGAAATTCCGTTCACCTGCGGTTCGAAGCTTTCCAATTTCTCTATTTGCTGTAATACCACAAAGATCTCGCACCCGGGTCGCCCTTGTTGGGTGAAATATACCATGAAGAACGTTCGGTAGTACGTCAGACAAGTAGCGAGCGCCTGTGCGTCGCTGCCCTGTCGTGTCGCGCACCCTCTATGATCATTAAATATTTTTCGACAGCTCATTTTTTTTTGCAGAGTTCGAATACCCGAAATCTCCTGGCTCAAATCTTCGGTCTGATTTCCTATCCCCAATGTTTTTGTAGAAAGGTGCTCTGGTATAGCATAGGAAGTACTACTAGCACCGGGTATGTAGAAGTCGGTCAATCGATCTCCTCATCCTCGTCCGCATTCATCACCCTGCTATTACTATCATTCCCCGCGAAAAATTGTTCCTCCATCATCTCCACCTCGGCACCAGCACCACCGGCGATTTTTTGATTCTTCCCCGACCCGGAATTCCCTCCCCCCGTAGCCGGGTCGTAGTAACCGTTGCCTTCCTTGATGTCCTGCAGAATGTGCTTCCATTCCAAAACTGGGTAGTTGGCGGATGACGCAGTCTGCACCTGATCCGCTTCGTTGTGGTTTCTTCCTCTACTCTTTTCCGCTGGAGGACTGAGCGAGCTGCTGTTCCCCGTCTGGTTTCTCCTCCGCGAGGGACTCTGCTTGGGGCTGCGATCACGACGCTTGCAGGGACTCAGATTATCTTGTTCAGCATCATGGTCATTATTTTCAGACGCTTCCGCACTGCTGACTTCTTCGTCCTCCGACTCCTCATCCAGCATTCGCTGGTGGCGCTGTTTTATCAAATGTAAAAATGTCTGGGTCTGGAAGATTGCGAGACTTGTCATGCTAATCTGGCATGACTCTGAACTCTGTATTGCGTGGCCGCAAAGAGCTCCTCCTCCCTGTGGTGCAAAAACGCAGTTTCTCATGCGGAATATGCAGCACAGAAGCACGAAGCAACTTGTCATGCTTGGCGGCGCATTGCAGTGCATTTGTTATTGACNTGTCTGGGTCTGGAAGATTGCGAGACTTGTCATGCTAATCTGGCATGACTCTGAACTCTGTATTGCGTGGCCGCAAAGAGCTCCTCCTCCCTGTGTTGCAAAAACGCAGTTTCTCATGCGGAATACGCCACTCAGAACCATGAAAAAAACTTGTCATGCTTGGCGGCGCATTACAGTGAGCTCACTATTCTCTTCCTTGCATCACAAGTTTCCAGACCCAGACATTTTTACGAACCCATATGTTTCTCGAGCTGTTGGTGGAACCAGGTATCGCCAAACGACCCGTCTTCTGTGGAGGCCGACGTGGCAGGAGCTCCGAACACGCTCGCCGTGCATTTCGTTGCAAGTGGTCCAAGGCCTGCTGGAGTACTGCTGTCGTTCCCCTCTTCCGACGTGCAAGAGGTGCTGTTCAGCCTTTCCTTCGCGCAACACGCGTCGACCGCGTTGCGCGTCCCGGACAGCCGCTCATCCACACCGGGTAAGGTGTGACTTCCACCATCTTGTTGAAAATTTTCCTCTTCCCTTAGCCCGTATCTTCGCATCACCTCGTTCTCTGTCGAATGCAAAAATGTCTGGGCCTGGAAACTTGTGATGCAAGTCAGTCAATAACAAATGCACTGCAATGCGCCGCCAAGCATGACAAGTTGCTTCGTGCTTCTGTGCTGCATATTCCGCATGAGAAACTGCGTTTTTGCACGACAGGCGAGAGAGGCTGTTTGTGGCCACGCAATACAGATTTATGGGCCATCCCATGCCAGGTCAGCATGACAAATCTCGCAATCTTCCAGACCCAGACATTTTTCCCTTTGATATTCTCCACCGCGTTTTCCAGCGTTGCCAGCATCTCCTCCTGCTTCACCGATCGCTTGGACCGGAAGAATATGAACTGTAAACATGTCTGGGTCTGGAAGATTCTGAGACTTGTCATGCACGTGTTGCATGAGCCAACATGTCTGTGATGCATGCTCTAGCATCACGCCTTTTTTGAGGGCTTCTTGATGCCTATTTGGCATGACAAATGCCATCTCCGCGTAGCAAAAAATGCGTTCCCTACTTTGCTGCTCATGCAATACAGATTTTTTTGGAATCCAAATGCAGCATCACAAGCTGCATTCTTCCAGACCCAGACATTTTTGAATTTGATAAAGAACCGCGCGCGCCCAGACCCAGCTCCGCCCCAGGGAATCAAATAATGCCACCCGAGGAAGCAAGCCGAGTAGAACATACTGAACTGCAGCATGTGCAACAGGTGCTCTATGGAAGCGTCAGAATCGAAATCGACAAAATCGAAAAAAATGTGATGCACAAAATCGACGCCAGTTGGAGCCTCAGTTTCTAAGTGGCGCATGACAAATTTCGGGACTACCAAAATCCAGTCTGTCATGCTGTTAGGGCAAAGCAGACTGCTCCTGTCATGCTACTCTGGCAACGCATTGTATACCCCTAAACAGGCTTACAATCGGCCTCATTTGCCTGCTCCCCAATACAGGCCTCGCGTGCCCTACATTTTATGCATCGCAAACTTTTCGATTTTGTCGATTTCGATCCTGACACTCCCATATGCTCGTTGTCCTCCGTATTTTTCTCGCCGCCAAAATCGAACTTCGCCACATTCTTCTTCAAAAACGCGTTGCGCTTGAAAAACGCAGTCATCCACTCCTCCCCACCGTTGCTCCACATCCGGTAACACAAATTGTTCCCAATCGCCAGCCACCACCCCAGCGGCTCCGCGGCCCGGCGGCAGAGCAGCCCGAAAAGAATCGCGCAGCACACGGAGAAGAACACCCCGTACGCGTACAGCCAGTCCTCGTCCGTGTAGACGGTATCGCACGAAAAAAGTGTTACAGTTACACATTTGTTGTCAATTCAGCAACACAAATTTCTCTTCATGAGAGAGAAAACTTGCAATGCAGAAATCCCACGGGAAAACACCTGTGAAAGGAGGCTCCTGTGCGTACCCGGCATGACAGAGCTTGTCTGTCTTGCTTGGCCTGCAACACAACGTGTAACTGTAACACTTTTTTCTCAGGATAGACGGTGCCGTTGTTGTAGTAGCGCTGGGTTTATGCATTGCAAATCAGTCCGGGTCTTAAAGGATGCAAGGTTTGTCATGCTTGTCTGGCATGACTGAAGAGTTTGTGATGCCGCGTGTCCAAGAAGAGACCCTCTTGCTTGTCATGCAAAACGCAGCTTGTCATGCGGAAAGCGCAACACTAAGCCGCGCAAATATTTCTCATGCTTGGCTGTGCATTACAGAGAATTCACTATTCACAACTCGGCAATACAAGTTTCCAGACCCCGACATTTTTGCATTTGATAGGGTTTTTTTCAAACTCCCAACCTCCAAAATTCTCGGCACGGCGTAGTGCTGTTTCAACTTCTTCTGCGGGCCCTGGTAGGTCCGCAAGCAGTAACTGAGCGTCGAGTTATAGTCTTCGTTTTCCTCCTCCGCCGTTTCCCATCGCTTCGCGAGCTTCTCCTTCCGATTTTTCGCGTTGCGGGATGAAAACCGGTACGAGCTACCATCGTCGTCGTCGTCGTCGGTGGTTGCCTCTGCAGTCGTTGATGTTCCAGCTTCGGTAGAAGACGAGGAAAAATAATTATCCGAGGAAGAATTATCAGCAACATCCTGCCCGCTCCCCACCGCATGAAAGTCCTTCAGCCGGTCGCAAAAGTCCGGCACCCACCCGCTCGGGCAGAACGCGGTTACGGCGGTCTCCCAGGCCTCGCCCTCCGGGGTCGTCGGAGGAGGCTTGTTGACCACGCGGTCGTGGGAGGAGCTGCGTTTCGTCTCCTTTGTCCAAAACAAACTTTTGACCGCCCGGCCCAAATTGAAGTCCCACCACGACGTCGCTCTTGCGGTACTAGGCTGTTGTGAGGACGAAGGCCGCTCCACTGCTGATGTAGTCGTCGTCGTCGAAGTTGTTGTAGTAGTAGCCGATTTATTCCTGTTGTTCCCACTCTTCTTCTTCGTCCTTCCTGGCGGCCCGATCAGCGGGCCCAGCACATTTTTCTCCACAGAATACAGCCACGGATCGACCCGACACGCCACCGACCGGTACCAACCGCTCGCCCGCCTGCGGGTCCACTTCGCAAGCACGTTGTCCCGAAAAAGCCGCATGGGAAAGTTGAAAAACACTTGGCAGCCGAGAAAAAACTGCAGCGCCCGGTGCATGTAGTACCGCCGGTAGTGGTTCGTCTTCTGCATCTGCGTGGCGACAATCAAGATCCAGCCGAGCATGTGGAGGATGCGGTCGACAAATTCTTCAATGGACTGGTCCGGGTCCCCCGTGTTGAGCACCATGCGGGCAAGCAGCGTTTCCAACATGGTGTGGCTGACGACCTGCTGGGGTCTTCTTCTTGATGGACCAACAACTTGCTCTTCGCAAGACTAATAATTTCTACGCAGGCGGGAGGAGTACTTGAGTCGAAGAACTGCCTGCTCTTCCGGGAATCGGCGTGAAGAAAACGGTGACAAAATCCCCGTTCGGTCACCGGAGTACTAGGCGGACTTTACGCAGTGGCCCGCTTGATCAACTGTAGACGGAACTCAAAAATCGCGGGCCGTGGCTGCCCAGAAATCCCCGTGGCTGGATCTGCTCTGCGGACGTCTTGCCATGACTGTTGTTTTTACCAACATCAGTGTCGTGCGAGAATGTGTGCTGGTGTGGTCTTTTCCGAAGGCAGAAAAGAGTAGTACTATGTTGTATAATATTATCGTGCCTTAGAAAATACTACGAAGATGCGAAATGTTTCATGGGGAAAGCCTTTGATGGGGATGATGGCATGAGGGTAGTACTACGCGAAAGGGGAAACACAACGGGGGAGTAGCAAAAGACATGTTCCTGTGCAGGCAAAATCATCAACTTTCCGCTATCAAAACACACCTCTCTGCCGCTCTTTCACCCTCTCTCCAAGATTATTTCTTTTTTTTTGCCAGGTGAAAATTAATCAATTATTAAGTGCACAATATCACCGGTACAGGTACAGATACAGAAGATCTCACATCATTTGTAGTTGGAAATGCGAATTTTGCTTAAATTCCGAAGGTTCCTTTCCCGAGACAACCGATCGACATAAAGAGAGCTTTTCTCTTTCTTGAACATCGAGTAAATAACTCAGCTCCAAAATCTACATACTGCACGACGCCGGCGTCAATTGCGCTCGTGCGGACTCCGTTGTTCTTTTGTGAGTAGGTCCTTCTCCTTGCGGACAACGATTTATTTATCCACTATTTCCTACAACAACTTCCTCAAAGAATTACCGTGTCCTCGCAGTGTAGTGGTGTCTTATCGGCATTCTAAGACGACACATCCAGAAGCGTCTGTTAATATTTCTTCGTGCTTTATAGCAAGTGTTGTTGTAATTGTTCATCGACGCTCCTGTTGTCGCATCATGCTCTTGGTGGAAGAACATATTTCCAGCAGTCATCGAACCGATGCAAAATTCCTCGTGGACGATCAGGGTCAGTCGAAAGAAAACGCAGCTCTGCCTTCACAGATGCTGACGAACCCATCAGTTATTTCACGAAAAATCTATCAGTTCATCCACACGTTCAGTTCCTCGACATATCCATCGGCATTTAATCGAACAGGTCGAATTCCATCTCCTCTTCTTCCTCCTCCGGCTCCGCCGCCGCTGCCGCGGCAGCCGGGGCTCCGGCGCCGCCGGCCGCTCCGCCCGCGGAGCCACCGCCGGACGCGGCCGCGGCCTTCATCTTGGCCAGAGCCTCCGGGTCGGACAGAATGGCCTTGATCTCCTCAACCTCCTTAAAGTTGAAGTCAATGTCCGCGACGGTGGCGACAATGTTCTTGAACGCGTTGGTCATCATGTGCGGCAGGCCGGCCTCGGTGGGGATGCCGATCTCGCGGCCAAAGGCGGCCACGTGGCTGACACCCGTGAGAAACTTCTTCATCAGGACGTCATCGGTGATGTCCAAGACGGCCGCGTCGAACACGGAACCGTCCTGGTACACCTGGCGGACCTATCAAATGCAAAAGCGTCTGGGTCTGGAAGAATGCAAGATTTGTCATGCATATTGCTCATGTCCCATGATGCCGGTAATGCTTGAACTAGCATCGCAGATTTTTAGAGGGCTTCCTGATGCACCTTCCGCATGAGAAATGCCCTGTCTGTGTAGCAAAAGATGTGCCCATCTTGCTGGTCACGCAATACAAATTTTTTTAGAGTCCAAAAACAGCATGACAAGTTGCAATCTTCCAGACCCAGACATTTTTGCATTTCATAGGACCTTCATACCGTACTCGAACGGCTTGATGTTCAGCTTGGCAAGCAGCGCTTGCGCGGACAGGACGACCTGTTAGAAGGAGTGTTTGTTTAATCGATCGATTTCGATGTGGTTGATACTTCCGATTGTTCGAAAGCTTTTTGTTTCAACTGATTTTTCGAAAGTGGTTCGAAGAATCGTATTTGTTCTACAGTGAGAACGCTTTCTTACTTCTGCATGGTTGGGGTACTACGCTTTCTTACTTCTGCATGCTGCGCAACGCAATCAGCAACGGAGTGCTGTGTGTCCTTTCTTTCAAACAGCCGCAAACTATTTACACCGAGTCCGTAGGCTCGTCGGATGAAAAGTAGAAAATCATACCGAATAATAAAATCGATCAGAACCAAACCACTTTCGATATTGTACCACAACAAGACACTACGGGGATGATCAGTCGCTATTCTACAAACAGGACAGTGCTGTACAGGTCTAAAGTGTAATATTTGGTCTCGGAGTATCACTATCAAATCACTCTTGGCATCATGTTCATGTTCTAGAAATGTACTACAAGTCGATTTACTGTGTGATAGCACAATTTCGGCAACACAAAGTATTTAGTACCTTCTCGCCGGTGGTACAGATCTTGAAGTCCGCGGTGATTTCGATGGAACCCTTGACAATCTTGGTCGGGATGTTCAGAGCCTGGAAAAAACTCGTCTGGGACGGCTCCAAGCCGGACGGACCCGCGGGGATGACGACGTCCTTCGGGGCGTTGGTTCCAGCCTTCGCGGCGGCCGGGACAATAAACCTGTTTATTTTTCGAGAAAACCCGAGTCTGACGAAATCAAATATATAAACCTCAGCGAATATAAAATTTTTCCCGTACTATTAAAAATATTGTTGCACGACGCTCCAATCGAGTGCTTCTGCTTCTTCTTTAAATCTCGAATTACTGTTCGCATGAGTAGACGCCATGCTCTCAATGGCACAATGGGTCAATGGAATCTATGGGTCTGTCACACTCAACACATCAACCTGATGGTCATCTTCCTCTTACAGAGTGACAGCCAAAATACAAGTCTCGTTCTTTCACGGGGCATGTAGTACAACATAGAAAATTGGCCTTCGGGGCAGAAGAAGTGCACAGAAATTTTATTTAATCATGATATTTCTATTATCGCTAGACATAATTTTTAAAATAAGCTGCAACTAAAAATCGCCCCATCTTCTGTAAAAAAAAAATCAATACGTGTCCAAGGTCTTGCGGGCGTCCTCGAGGTTGCTGGCTTCGTGGCAGAAGATGAAGCCCATGTTTCCCTGGACGTTGTCGACCAACTCCTTCAAGGCAACCGCCGCGGGTGAGTTTTCGTCCTCCTCTTCTAACGCAGCGATGCGCTGGCGCAAGGCCGTGCGGATCATGGTGTTCTTACCCATCAACAGCGTGCATTTTCCCCGCAAGTCCATACGGATGTTCTGCATCTGCTTGGAACCGACGTGGTCCACATCCACAATCAGGGCCAGGGGGGTGGATTCCACCAGGTTGACCAGCTTCGCCATGTAGGCGTTCTTACGGTCGAGTTTCGCACCGGACGGCATTTTTTTGAGTTGTTGTTGTGTAGAAGATCGGAGACTGAAACCTAAAAGGCTAACAATCCAACTTTAACCGATCTAGTGGCTAGTGGATAGGAATAATCCTACTCAACGAGTGTCCCTGTGGTCGTGTGTGTTGGAGGAGGTGGTGTGGCAATGAAATTTGTGAGATGGGATAGAAAACTCCGAAATGAGATGTACTCTTGAGGAGGAGGAGAACCGTTATCTTGTGGTCAAGAGCAATAGACTTTGTGTGTGAATTGGTGGAGATCTAAAATTTTTCGATCCTCTTCTGGATTCAAATTTCCGTTGGAGCTTAAAATTTCACATGAATTTAGATCTATTTTCATCAGACCTGGAACAGCACAATTCTAATGATCACGATCAAGTCAGTGCAATTTGCGATCTCAAGCTAGCACCTGGGACGATCGTCTTACATCATTTCAGTTCTGCTTCTGCGAAATACAGCAATATCAAAAGCGTTAATATGTTGCCAACAGCGATCTGATGCTTTTGTTGCTCCTTCTGAAACAGAGATCCAGCTATTCCTTCAGCATAGTAACGCTCATCAGATCTGATCCCTTTCTGTTTCTATACCGTGGACCGGAATCTCCTTTTAGATCTAAATTCATTTCAACCTCTGCTTGTTCGGAATAAGTAGCCACTAAGTACTTCCGTCAACAACTTTGATATCAAATGCAAATGTGCCTAGGGGGTAGGGTAGGCCCAAAGCTTTTGGGTCGATAAAAATACAGCTTTTTTTGCATTTTTGGCAGACTTGCTTCAACAAAATTGCAGAGCTTTTGCCCCATTTGCACGGTCCATATGTATGCACTTATTGTGCCACGGCTTCGTCTGCGCTTTCTTTGTTTTGTGTGCGTGCTGTGTGGCTCTTCCATTTTGTGCTGCGCGTTGAAGATGCTGCGCCGCTAGTCATCTCGCCATGAAGAAGTCCACGGGGGGCCGTTGTCGGGGGCAGGCCGCCGCCTGCTGCTGCAGCGCTTTTCTCAGCGGCAACGGGCCAAAAAGTTCTGGGGCCCGTTGCTGCAAGTGGGATCTGGAGCAAATTTCTCGGCGTAGCCCGAAAGGCCCGCCCGAAACCCCAATCGCGATGATTTGTATGCTTCGATGCAACAACTTCAGGCCGGAAAAGGCCATAGCTTTAAACCTTTGCAGCCAGCATGCAGTAAATTGCTGCGTGTTGCCTGCAAAGGTTTACAGTTAGTTGCGAACAAATTCACAGTCGTGCCATGGCCTTTTGCGAGTACGCAGCAGCGTGCGCACTCGCTCCTCACCCATGGCCTTGGGCCTTTTTCATCGCAGCGCGGCGCTTCCAAGCACCTTCATCGAAACAACGAAGGCGTTTGGAAGTGCCATGGTGTTCGCGCAAAAAAAATCATTTTTATCGCCAAAAAATGCTACTTTGCGTGGGGGCCCGACCACATTGAGGTCGGAGAAGCTGGTGGAGAAGCTGGTGGAGAAGCTGGTAGGGAAGCTGGTGGGGAAGCTAGTAGGAAAGCAGCACTCCTACCAGTTTCTTAGCCAGCTCTTCGCGTGGGCGACCGAGATAACTTGGGCGAGGAAAGATCTGCCGTGGGCGATAAAGGAAATGTCGAGCGTGCCGCTTTGGCAATTGCCCCAAATCCAAACCTCTGCAGCCCACACGCACTAACTTCGTGCGTGCTGCCTGCAAAGACTCCTGCCTGTGCGTCTTTGGCATCCGCTTCTCATTTGTGAAAGGGTGTTTTCCCTTGTCCGGTGCGTTCTCTTCCACTTAACTTTGGCCCAACCTCTGGCCGAGCCCCTGCCCGCCCAGCCTCGCTTCTGCCTACCCTATCGCACAACCTTCGCTCCACCTCCGGCGCCGCGCCAGGCGGAACCTCGGGCCCCGCGCCTGCCCCTGCCTCTGGCCGGCCAAGTCTATCTCTGACCGAGCCCCGCCTGGCCTAGCCGGCTCGGCCTATCTCGGGCCCGGCCTCTGGCCCAACTACGAGGAACCGTCGCCCCGGGGGTTCGGGCTTCTGAGCCGCGGCACCTTCGGCACCAGCTTCGGCACCAGCTTCGGCACCAACTTCGGCACCAGCTTCGGCACCAACCTCAACGCCGGCTTTTTTCCACCTTCTCGCTAATTTTTTTTGTGTTTATCCTACCCCCTAGGCACATTTGCACAGGATATTTGACAGAGCACAACGATCTTTTGTTCCAGAGAGTTTCATCTAGATCTGCGCCGATATTAAAACGTTCTCACCAGATCCGAGCTGCGAGTGCCTACATTGCGGGCTAATTTTCAAATCACGAGATAGAATCTTTTCCTGCCTGCGGTTGGGCGCGAAGATGAAGCGCCCCGATTCCGCAGTGTAGTGCCGCAGCCGCTTGAACGACCGTTATCATTGCCAGAACGCTTGTGTGGATCGAAAGAACCGCTGGAACTGCTTTGTGGAGGTAGAGTTGTGCGCGATGTAAGTACTTCCGGACGGGCAGCCTGCAGCCACCTATAGATGTGAAAGAACACGGGAAGCCACGACCTCCGGTTGGCGCGGCCTCATTGAGGCCCAGAACAAGCTGTGTCGTCCTAGCTACATAAAATCAAAAAAAGGCTAAAGCCGTTGTTATCTCGTCAGAGTGTCCGCCTCACGCCGGGTGATGAAATTGCAAGTTTTAGTACTGACCGCGCAAGCACGACCATGTTGATTCAAAGCGGTATTATTCTGTACCGTTCCGATGAAACTAGATCGCGCTTCTTACTGCTCGCGCCTGCTGCTAGTGGTCACTACTTGTCATTAAGAGTGTACTGTCTACTACTTCTACTGCCATTATACCTAGTTAGTAGAACAGACTGCAGATCATTCTCCCGGGGCTCTCGAAGTGCGCTGCGCGGCACGACGTCCGTTGCAGGATTCGTGGCCTTGATCCGACGTGTTATGCATCACAAATGTGTCTGGGTGGATGTCTCTGCTGGAGGTGTGCAGCTTGCAATGCTGCTTTTTGGTACTTAATTTCATTGCCTCCTGCGCACAAAGAGTAGTCGTAGTCCAGTCTTTACTGCGCGAAGAGAGCATTTCTCATGCGGGAGAGTCATCAAGAAGAACTGTGAGAATAGCCCGCGATCATGCATGACGTGGCCTAGGTACGCACATACGACTCGGCACGCCAAATCGTATGTGGGGCGTTACAATTTGCGCGCTTTTGTCATCGGGAAAACCCGCCAAAAAGCAGCACCGAGCCTGGTGCGGTTTGTAACGTATGGCAGCACCGAGCCCGCCAAAGTATGTCTTTTTGCCCACCTACAAAATTCGTATGGTAGCGGCGCGCCTTCACAATACATTTTGGCGCACCGAGGCGGCGCGCAAAAACTTCGCTGGGAAGCGCCCGCCTTTGAGACATTATGCGCCTTCGCTGTGTACTTGCTTCTGTCATTCCTCGCGCCCGCATGATGTACGCCCGCGCGCGCCTTTGCCCATCGCATGCGCGACGCGCCGCGCAAGTCGGTGGCCCCAGACTAGTTTCGCACGCCTGTCCCTGGTGACGCGGGCGCCTTCGCCTGCTGCGTTTTTTACTTTGCCCTCGAACGCGGGCCAAGGTCCGGGCTTTGTTTTTCTACCCGCCAACAAGGCACGCGCGCGTGGTCTCGCGACTTAGCCGACGCCCCCCCCCCTGTGTTCCGCCCGTCTGCTGCTTCGTTCGTGACTACAAGTTGGCGCACCGAGGCCGTCAGCCTCGGTGAGCCTCGGCGCACCGAGGCGGCAATTCCGAAAAACTTGCATTTTTGGCCTCGGTGCGCCATTTCGTATGTGCGCCCTGAAGAAACTTCTTCTAGCCTCGGTGCGCCAACTTGTAGTGGCGTACCGAGGCCACGACACTACCCAAGAGAGTCATCAAGAAGAACTGTGAGAATAACCCGTGATCATGCATGCTAGGACACACAACATCACAGACACCAACACCATGCGTCATGCATCAAAATGTGCATGACAAACATCTGCACTCTTCCCGAGGACCATCCAGACACGTTTGCAATGGATACACCTCCAGGGCATCATGATCACAAATTGTAAGTACTAGCAGCAGTGAGACATTGACATCTTAGCTGCAGCAGTGGCTGTGAAGCATAATTTTTACCTACTTGTTTTCCCATCAACATTTCTTCGCCATCTTGTCAAAAAGAACTCGCCCACCCTCGTGAGTACGGCTGCTGACGTGTTGTCTTCGTCGCCTTTCTTGAAATATAAAGCGCTATGACATACAGCGAAGCTGCCAGAGCTCGAAGTGCTACGAGTCGTGCAGCCTCAACACATAACACCGCGGCGCGGTCGCAATCATCGGTCTAGCGGCGAAGAAAGCACAGCTCTCCTATGTTAGGCCTGGTCCAGTAGTCGAGCGGGCGCAGTGTAAGTCTGTCAAAACTCATGTCCAGCAGCATATCACTATATTTTCAATGGCCGAAACGTTTTTCATGGTTTATCTATTGTTCGGGCATTTTGTTATTGATGCACTATAAAAAATTGTTAAGGCTTGCGTCGCAGCAAAGGAGTTTTACCCGATAAGTAGATGATGGAAGTAAAGTAATTTAATGGGTCATCATAGTCGAAAGAGGAAGAGCTGGCTCATCATTTTTGCACCACATAAACCCGCGGCTGGCTCATCTCACGCCGTCGTACACTGTAGTACGACAGACGCGGAAACAAAAAAGGGGTCGACAGACATCATGAGCCCGACAGACGCGGAAACACTGTAGTACGACAGACATCATGAGCCCGCCGCGGGGCGGGGGTCCAGGTCTACCACCTCGCTGTGCACACAATAAGTATCTGACGGGTCGCCTGTGTTCAACTCACTCACTCACTCATTACGTGTTTATCCGGGTTTAAAATTTGTTTCTTTTCTTTCATCAAGTCTTCTTTTCTCGGATGTACACACAAGCGATTCTTTCCTCGAGACATCGACTGTCTCGCCTCAAGCGGCAGCCCACAACTCTCCCTCCTCTTTTGTGAATAGTAGGCCTGCTACCCACGCCTCTTCCTTGCCTGAGTTTTCGCAAAAGGCCTCCCATTGTATCTGGAACGCACCGGGTTCTCTTCTTCCGTTTCGTAGGTTCTTCCGTCTCCGTCGGGAACTCTTACCCAACGTCTTCCGCTGATTTGCGCACAGAATTGCGCGCGCTGCTGGTCTTGTTCCTCCGCTTGTTTCCGGATGTTTTCCCGCTGGCGCTGCGTCTTCTCTGCGCAGGCTTTTGTTTTTCCTCTCTTCGTTTCTTTCCTGCCTTCTTTCGCCAGCGGTTTTGTTGGCCGCTTCGCCAGTAGCTGGGCCTTTACTGTTTTCGCATCCGGCGGCGCTTTCATCGTCTCCTGCACGTCCATGCCTACCATCTCCATGTCTGCCGCGACCATCCTCCCCCACCTTGAGCCCGCCCGGATCTCCGCCTTCACCGAAAAGTGGCAGGCCTCCCCGGGGTTGCGGGCTGTGTGTGTTGCCCACACAATGCGCTTCTCTCGTAGCATCGTCTCTATAGGTGGGATCCCTGTGGTTCGACATAGTTCTTGCCTACTAGCGTACTCCCGCTCTTCCGTTTCTTCTTCCAAATCCATTTGCCATTCGCGTTTTTCCCCGGCGACGGTTCGCAGCGTCGTGTGCTGAAACCAGCGCAGCGTCTTCATGTCGCTCTCCTTCGGTGCCCAGAGCTCCGCATTATATAAGGCGACCGAATTCACCAGGGTCTGGTATAGCGTCGCCTTCAACCGCCGGGGAAGTTCGTTGTCTCGCCATATGTCCCGGAGGGACACTACTACCGTGCGCGCGATCCCGGTTCTCCGGTTGATTTCGGTGGACATGCTTGCGCTGCTGTCCACCTGCGACCCCAGATACTTAAAAACGCCCGACGTTTTGATGGGGCTACCGTCGAAAGTTTGCAACGTGGCTGGCACCACCCTTCTTGCCCTTTCGGCTTTCTGTTTTTCCTCCACTTGCCGCCCCACTCGCAGCGTCCTTCGTTCCTGTGTCGTCTTCTTCGGCCTGCAGAAGCCCGTGGCCTGGTGTGACACCAAGGCTCTTTGGTCTGGAAGATAGTCTCCACATCTGCTGCACTGAAATTTGTTCTTATCTTCCAAAACAAACTTCACATCGCCGAGCCGCACCAACCTGATGCTTTCCTGCTTCTTTCCTCTCTGCACCACCGCCCATCCACCATTGCCTTTGTAGTGGCATCGCGATGAGCTTCCGTCGTTCCACATCAGCAGGTGCGTCACTCGTAGTCCCCTGTCATCGAATTTCGTTGCTTTTCTTGCTGCTCTTCTCGTGTCTTCCCGTAGGTCCGCTCCGTCCCATTCTACCATCCAGCCTCCACGCTCTTGCCCTGTCTCGTCGCACCACAGGAATTCTTCTTCCCGTGCTTCCTCGTTGTCCCTCGTTTTTGGCTCGATGTTGAACGTCATGCACTCGGTCTTGTCGCTGTTGATGCGCAACCCGACAAACGCGCACGCCGCCGTTAATTGCAACAACACCTCCCGGGCCTGTTCTTCGTTCCCTGCTTTTGTCGCGATGTCGTCCACATAGCCGATCCAGGTCAGGATCAACTTTTCGACCTCGTCCGCCCCTTCCTTCCAAACGCCCTGCTTCTCTAGAACCCGCGCCGTCATCTCCATCGCGAATCCTAGGCAGAGGATGAAGAGGAGGGGGCTTAGCGATGAGCCCTGCCGTATCCCGCACTTCTGCGCGAATTTTTCGGTTAGCTTGCCGCTTCCTGTTTTTAGCCGGACGGCTGACCCAGCATATATCTTCTCGATGTAAAAAAAAAAATGTAAATGTTAACTAAAAATGTAATCTTCCTGTGTTCAAAAATGTAAATGTTAACTATGTTAAATGTATCTTCCTGTGTTCAAAAAAATGTAAATGTTAACTAGCAAGTCGAAAAACCCCACGCCATGCAGCACACGACGTGGTTTTTTTCGATTGCATTTGCAGCTCCCAGGTTTCACATCTCACTTGAGAAAGAACTTGAGAGACTGACTAGCGAGTGTAGCTGAGTTCTTGAAAAATATGACAATTCGTGATCATTTTGGTCTTTGAGTATTAGTAAAAAAAAGTTCCCTTCTGTTGGGTCGTTTTATCGCCATTTGAAAAAACCCGAAGGCCACAGATATAGTTTTGAAATGAAATAAAGTAAGTAAAAAAATCGTAAAACGAAGTTTCGTTTGATGTGAGTATAGCACAAAAAGAGCTCTAGTAGCGATCATGAAACAGAAAAATTATCCTAAAAAGAAACGTCGAAAACCCGCTTGCTGTGAAAATAAACGTAATAGTACCTTGTATAAGTTCTGCGTTCGTCTCGCCGTGCAGTAGAAACTTGATAGGTATAAGAGCTAGTTTGCCTTGCGGTCAGAAATCTGAACCGTGACACGGCCGTCGAACTACATGTTGAAAATAGTAATCATTGTCCACCTTCTTCTTCTTCTACATCATCCGATACGATATCGTCGGAAGATGAGGTCCGAGTTCATCTTTGAAAAGAACCTAAACGCCCGCTTCTAGATGTCCGACTCTGAAATCTCGTAGCCATCGGAATCAAAGGGGTCGCAGAGCATGCCACTCAGGTCCGGCTCGTCGCTCGGAACCGGGGGTAGGAGCTGACACGGCGGTGGTGCCGTGTTGTGAGAACTCTGCGGTCCTCCACCCCGTCCTGCTGGCGGCCTGCTACTACTACTTCCTGGCGCTGCTAGTAACTCCGGGGAAGATATACAGCTCCCGCCACTGCTCGTCCCGCACCGGGGCCCCATCATGGTCGGTCTGCCGCGACTAGCCTATCCATGAAAAAAAAATGCATTTTGAACAACTGGCGGCATTTTTACAAATTCGCTCCGCATGACAGAAAGCGCTTCGACCCGATGCAAATCTAGTTGGGAGAATTTTCATGGTCGTACCTCTGTAGTGCAAGGTTGTTTGCATTCCACCACGGCTGCCTGCACGACATCGAGGTAGTTGTCTGGCATCATCCCAAGCACAAGTGTGCCTCTCAGGCATGGTCTGATCTGCCAGATCAGTTGTACTATCTTAAAACAGTAGTTTTTTTCTTGGATATTACCGGTGAACCGAGAAACAGCCTGCGCGGGCACTCTTCGATGTCATGGAGGCACTGGTCGGACTCGGGACTGGCAACTATCAAAATCCAAAGTGCCCCAACCACGGAAACAAAGTTGGAATCCTGAAGGGCATCTGTTGCATCTAACCTTGGCTGCACGTGAGATGATCTAACTGCTTTGCACATTGGAAGCAACAAATACGGGAAGTTTCGTTTGAGAACTCAAGCCAGTTTTGCAACTTCTGCGAAGAATCTGTATATTGAAAAGTAAAATCCCAAAGGGAAGTTTGAGTAAAGCACTGTAGCGAAGAATCTGTATAGGTAATTATCACGCAGCTGATGTATTAATTATACATATACACCACGATGCAGAAAATTATAAGTACAGTCTCCACGGCTGCACTTCCATGTTGGCATCACACAAATATTATTTCATCCACATTCATACGCCGCGGGGCACTTTTATAAATATATTCACTTGGATAGCACCGCAGTCGCCGCACTCTTCATTCCGTAACCGCTTCGTTTCGGGCTGGTCGCCTTCCGCGCCCATCGTGCTCCGGTGTGACAGTGGACAACTTCCCCTTGGAGCCCAACTGCTCACTTTTCATGCAAAGAACCTTGCGTGAAGCCACATTTATGCGAAACACCTTCAGGGTGAAGGAACACGACAACAATCCAACATCTGTGGCCCAACAATAAGTACAACTTCTTGTCATGCGAAAAATCTGCATAACCACATGATTCTGGGTCTTGCTTCTGTTGTAGTAAGTAGGTCCCATGTGGAAGTAGATCATCGAAAAACGGCGGGGGATTAAAGAGGAGCTGTGCATCGTTTGATACCCGACCCTCATCGTCCATGAGGCTGTCGCTTGCTGTGTCACACAGAAAAAAGCAGGCAGAGGTCATATTTGTAATGCAAAAATAATTTTCAAGTACCCAAAAAAAGGTGTATTGCGCAACATCCTAAACAGCACGCTGTGGGGCCGCCCATGGCAGATTTTTATTTTGATGTGTGTGTGTCTTTAATATTTTTGCATTACAACTATGCCCGGCCTGCTTTCTTCTCTGGGATATGCTGCATCGGCCTGCCTGCGGTCGGGCTGGAGCTCGAAGGGCGGAATGTCCATGTCGGCTTCCAGCAAACCTGGACAGAGTAGAAGAGGACTACTACATGATGATGACGATCTTCCATTAGCTGGCTTTACAACAATTTTTGCTTCAGTACTGTTATTTATTTACACCGCCGGTGGCACTGGCAGGAGCCTTGTGTTGGTTTATTTCGTTTTCAACTTGAAAAGAATGGCAATGGCACTACGTCTTCATCTAAAAAACGCATTTTCTATTTTCTTGCGCCGAACCCGAAATAAAACGAAATCCATGCGAGTTGTGCTATACCTCCTGCAGCACCACTCGGCGAGGCCCCCAATGCGGGCTGGTCGCGCCGTAAAAACGCTCCTCTCGTCCCGGCTTTTTCTCCACCCTGCGCACTATCCAATGCGAAAATACTATGCAGAACAGGAAGTCGCGTGCCCTTTCTTAGTCAAAAAAACGCGTTAATACCTCTTTGCGTCACTGCATCCAGACACAGGCGGGAATAAATGCTCTCGTAGCTCCTTCCTGCTGATCGATTGTATAAAAATATTTTTGACACAATTATGGAGACAAATTCGACGCTGGCACGAGCCTCCAAGACTTCCATCTACTGTGCATTTTTTTATTCTGATACGTCGCTCCAAGCTCATACATCATTTCCTCCAGCCGGCTCGGCGCCTGATGTTGATCCGATAGCTTTACATTTTTTAAATAATTTTTCGTGAATTGATATATGATTTCTCGTCGTACTAAAACGTCTACAACTTCACAAAGCGGCAAATGCCAATTATGTTTCTAAGTGCCCGCACGATAAAAACATGTAGGTAGAGCTGCTACCTCGCTTGGTGGAAAGGCGGATGGAAGCATCCCAGAGAAAAAAAAACGCAGGCAGGGCATCTATCTTTGTAAAATGCAAAATGAAAGTAAGAGAAAGATCTGGTGCTGTCATGGGCGAATAAACCATAGCACGCTGATGTAGTTCTTTAGGAAATGTGATATAATTACAAGACTTGCATTTGTACTATTGTTTGTCTGTTCATTTTATTTTGCATTACAAATACGCCCTGGTGCCAATCGTTTTCTGTATGATAGGAAGAAATTGTCCGGCGCCGGCCTGTATTCGTTCCCCGTTGGAAAGGAAGCTGTCCTGCGAGACGGCGACTCCACCCATGCGGCTCGCACTGGCGCCTTATCAACTGCAAATAGTATGCGAGGGTCTGGAAGAGTGCACGGAAAACAAATGAAAATGGGGCCTTGTTCTTATGGCCATGCACCAGGACAGGTTTTGTGGCCTGATGTAGAATTCGCATGACACATTCGATGACTCCTTCCAGATCCAGACATATTTGCATTTGATACAACCTATCAAATGTAAAAGTGTCTGGGTCTGGAAGAGTGATGCTGTTTCTGCATGACACAGAAGGTCTGGCATGGAAGCTCTAGCATCACAGGTTTCGACAAGCTTCCGCAATGCCGAATCCGCATGACAAATACCCCATTTTGGTGACAGAAAGTGAGCAGCTTTTGCTGCCTATGCATCAGAGATTTTTGTGTGTTCTGAAATGCGCATCACAAGTTACATCCTTCCAGACCCAGACATATTTGCATTTGATACAACCCGCAACACCTGCGCGGACGATGCGGTGCTGGTGCCGGTAAATTGCCGGCTGACGCCGCCTATGCATTGCAAATACCGATCTGGGTCTGGAGGAGTGTTGCATGGTTTGTCATGCTTGTCAGGCATGGCTGAAGAGTTCTTTGTGATGCGTGTCCAAGAAGTCACCCTTTTGCTTGTCAAACAAAAAATGCACAGCCTGTCATGCGGAAAGGGAAAGAACCGAAACACTAAATCAGGCCGCGCAAATACTAATATCTCTCGTCATGCTTGGCGGTGCACTTCATCTTCCACAGAGTATTCACAATGAATTTTAATTTTTCACAACTCAGCATTACAAGTTTCCAGACCTAGAGGACATAGGTATTTGCCATGCATACCGCCGGACATGGTCGACATAAAACTACCCGAGGAGCTGTTGCGGTAAAAACGTTGCCCCAGCGTTGACATGTTCGCCGGCTCGGAGTAAACGCGGAGGTGCATCGTCGCATATCCGGTGCCTCCCCTGGCTCCCCGGGGCCTCTTCTTGCTGTATCCTGTGGAAAAACGTTTCCAACTCCCCAGAGTTGTCATGCAGATTTGCAACTACAGGAACAGTTGTAAAAATGTGCATACCCATGAGACGCATTTTCGGCCGTGTTTTGGAATTTGTAATTCTGTAAACAGGATAAGGAGCTAGCTTCGTGATGCGGCTGTGCTTGCTAATAGACTGCACCACCATACAGCGAAGAACTTGTAATGCGTAACGCCCAAAACTTCTGGGTTTGTGTTGCTTTTTTTCCAACTTGACTCTGGGGTGGGGGCCCCGTAGTTTTCGCTGAGGATATGCTCCGCGTCCGCGTCATCTCGTCCCACTCGCACTCCCCGTCCGCGTAAGTCATCGCCTTTTGTTGAATACAAACGAGACAATGTTGCGTACAAATTACGACCACCTGCTGCTTGGGGTGGTGTTCAAGTTCATTCAATAACGCCAAGAACTCCATGAAATTTCGAAAAAATGTAAAAGCTACACAGAAAATAGAACCGCTTTCTAAAGTATCTTCTTTATCTACTTCAAAAAAGCACTACTAAATGCATAATACCGGCGACGTCAGAAATCGACCCGATTTATTTTTCCGTTATCAAAATGAAAAATCCCTCCTCCCCATATCAAAATGGAAGTCTGTGATGCGGGATTTGTGTACACAAATCATTTTGTCATGCTAGAAGGGAAAAAGTGCGGACTGTAGTTCTGTATGGCGTGGAAAAGCCTTGCAGCTACAGCATGACAGGAGGCAGGAGGAAGTGGGAAACAGCATGGCAAATTGCCTACAAACGAGGCCACGACTGCGTCGCTTGGCCTTCTAGCAATGCAAGTCGATTTGTGTACTCGAATACAGCATCACAAATTTCGTTTTTGATATGGGACGAGGGGGAATTTTTCCTTTTGATATCCGTGCCGCTTTCGCCACGCGATGGTCCTCGGGCATTCTGTAAGCGTGGCGGTGGTCATATCCCGACCCGGGTGTGGCTTCACGGCTCTCGGCGGCACTGGACCCCGGGCCGTGCTGACAGATGCCCCAGTCTTATCGTAAGGAAAAATCCCCCCTCCCCATATTCGAAAATTTGTGTTGCTGATTTGAGGCCACAAATCGCATATGTCTTGCACGAAGACAAGTGCAGCAGCTTCCCCCCTATTATGGACGCGATTTCTCATGCTGTGAAGCCTAAAGGGGAGCCGTTTGCCATGCTGAACAACTAGACCCATACGCCCCTACCTAGCCTGGGGATCTGGCCGCAATGCCTCTGTGCAATACAAAGCTGATTTGTGTACGCAAATCCAGCATCACAAATTCCCTGTTCGATACGGGGTGGGGGGATTTTTCCTTTCGATAAGTCTTTCCGACTCCAGGCTGCAGCGTTGGCCGACCCGAACTGGTCCTGGTGCGAAGAACTATCAAATGCAGTTGTGTCTGGGAGGTCTGGAAACTTGTAATGCTGGTTTGGGAATAGTGAATGCTCTGTGATGCACGGCCAAGCATGAGAAATTATGTCTGCGCTGCTTTAGTGTTGCGCTTTCCGCACGACAAACTGCGTTTTTGCATGACAAGCAAAAGGCTCTCTTCTTGGGCACGCATCACAAACTTTTCAGTCATGCCAGACAAGCATGACAAACCTTGCATCCTTCCAGAGGACCCAGACATATTTGCAATGCATAAGAGCTGCCCGCACTCGAAATTTTCCGGAGGAGTTCGGTGTGCGCGCCGAAGTCCTCGACGACCCCGGCCCACGGAGGGGACAGCATCGGGTGGTCGCCAGGTGGATGCGGGCCGGTCGGCGGCGAGTATTACAGTGAAAAGTGCCCCCCACCCCCAAAGTTGCAAAAATTTGTGATGCGAAGTTTCCAAATGAAAACTTTTTGTCATGCATGAAAGGAGTACGAATCCTTCTGATGCAGAGTCTAGTCGTGTTTCGCATCGCTTGCATGACAAGCGCCGCTCTTGCTGGGATCTTTTGCAATACAAATTTTTGCTATTCACGGTCGGAAATCTGTGATGCTGATACATGCAAGAGGGCGAATGTTTCATTTGGAAAGGTTTGCAATAAGTACAAATGCTTTCAAGTTCGGGGGTGGGGGCATTTTTCATTGTAATAGCGAGGTAGTGCTGTTCATTCGATGTTGTGAAGAGGAGGGCCCGGACAATAGCGCGAGGAAAAATCCCCCCTCCCCATATTTTTGACAGGGTACGTTTTCGAAAATTTGCGTTGCTGATTTGTGGCTGTTTTGCAGAGTGCTGGTCCTCTGTGGCCACAAATCTGTCTTGCAGGAAGGCTTTGCAGAAGGCGTCCGCCGCATTATGCAAGCGGAGTCGGTATTAATACCGACTAATGGGAAAATAAATACAGCACGAACGTTTATTTTCATGCTAAGCGCCTAGGCCAAAAACCTCTCTACTATTAACTCAGGCGTACTATATGGGCCTGCAGAAGATGTCGTCCTCTCCAGCAACACAAATCTGATTTGTGTAGTACGCAAACTGAGCATCAGAAACTTCGTTTTGGTATGGGACAGATCTTTCCTTTTGATACCGTCTTCGGCCGAAACCGACCATTCGTCCTCCGTCGAGCTGGAGTCGTCATCGCCGTCACCGGAGTCATATCCCAGAGAAAAAAGCTGGCAGGTCATATTTGTAATGCCAAAATAAATACACAAAAAAATCTGTATTGCATAATATCCGAAAGAACAGCATACTATGGCTGTCCGCCCATGACGAGTCTTTCTGTGTGTAGTTTATTTTTGCATTACAAACATGTCCTGCCAGCTTTTTTATTCTCTGGGATAAGTCATCTTCCAGGTCCGTTTTGGCACCCGGATCCACGGTGTAAAACTTGTTCCGTGCGTATCAACTGTAAAAATGTCTGGGTCTGGAAGAATTCACGTTTGTCATGCTTGTCTGGCATGACTCTTAAATCTGTTATGCACGTTACTACCCAAGAGCTCCGTTTTATTTCTGTGATGCAGAAGCGCAGTTTGTCATGCAGAATAGGCAACACCTAGGAGCTCAGAAACTTGTCATGCTGAGCCAGCATCTGTAGCCTCATCATGAGACGCCACCCAGCATCACAAGTTCCCAGACCCAGACATTTTTACTTTTGATAGTGCGTCTTGCAGCACCATGCGCTGGAGGTTCAGGTCCGCCGCCGATGAACCGGCAGCCCCGGAGGTACTATGGTCATCTCCCGCAAGAACTACTACACCCTCGCGCGAAGTATCCTGTGCAAAAGCATCGCACTCGTAGTAATTGCAGTCATGCATCACAAATTTTTTTCCTAAGGTAAAACAGCATGATAAATTCCATTTCTCATGCTGACGGAATTTGTAATGCGATTTCTGCCACTACGATGCTTTTGCAATGCATATGAAGAATCCACCAGCGATTTCCGGCGCGGCACAACCACTGCCAGCGGGGACATCTGCGGCGTTTCGGGCAACATCTGCGGGTGGTCCAGGTCCTCGTGGTGGTCATGACTGTGACGGCGAGGTAGAAGACGATGCAGATCTTCTTGCTCCACCAACCGACAACTCGATTGATCTCCTTCCCCTGACGTCGAGCAGCCGCACTATCCTGAGGAACAAAAACGGGGCCCACACGACCCCAGAGTTGTCAAGATGGGGATTTATTTGCAACACAAACCTAGAAGTTTTGGGACTCACGCGTCAACACAAGCTGCAGCTACCGTAGTGTAGTGCAGCTTAGCAGGGTTAAACACATATCACAAATCCATCTGCTTATGTATGATCCTGGTGACAGCGTAAATACAAATGCCACAACACGACTAGAAACGCCTCTCATGGAGATGCGCATTGCAAATGTTCCTGTCATTGCAAATCCGCGTGACAACTCTGGGGCCGTGGCGACGTTTTTCCAAATGTTACGCGCGGAAGACGATTGGCCATCAGCATCGATGGACAAGAAGAACTAGTGGAAGCACCACCACAACTTTTTTGTAAGCTGAAACTATAGTCTGCCCCACGTCGACCACCTCCAAAACCCGCTGCGCGAAGATGAGGACTTCTTGAGGCAGCTCCGCTACTGCCCGTGGTCGACGCACCTACATGGGGCGACGACAAAACAGGCGCTGGTGGTGGTGTAGCAGCTTCATCCCGGTCGAAAAACGAGCCGCTTTGTTCCCCGTGTAGTTCCCTTTCTTGTTCGCGCCGCATGAAGGTGCTGCTGTTCAGGAACCCTTCTCGCGGCAGACGCTGGAAATTTCTGCCAGACGTTGTTCTGCCAGCAGGAGCGGGACCGGCACCACTGGTACTACTACTAGACGGGAGCTGCTGCGTGCGGTCATGATCATCGGGGGTCTTTATTTTCACCACGGGTGTTAATATCATTTGTTCCATATGGGCGGCGTCTTCACTTCGGGAGGAGACAACAGGAAGGCACATCAGCTCCTCTTGTTGGTCTTCTAGATCCATCTGGAATAAGTCGTCTTGTGGCTCTTGTGCCTCCTCCTCCTGCGGCGGCGCGAAAAAATTCTGACCTACAGGTCGTGGTGCTACGAGTTCTAGGTCCGAAGAACCTCTTCGCACAAGAGCCGCCAGGGCGAGGCCTGCCGGTAGTTGCTGGGGGTTTTGTCTTGCTTGTCGTGGAGACGTCGCCATTTCGTCAGTTCGCAGTGTGGTCGCTCGGCAGTTCGCCAGTTCTGCGGGTCCCGTCGTCATCGTTGCACCTGTATCAAATGCAAACCGATGTCTGGGTCCTGCTCTCGATGACTGCGTATGCGTGTCCTTGTCATGAAGATTTTGTCCCTCGAATTATAGTAAACCAGGTAACGCAAAAGTGGTAAAAGTACAGGTTCTTGGCCGGAGGCTTTTTTGTGGTAAGTACTTAATCTTAAGTATAGTAAAAACAAGAAACAGATCGTAATAATTGCTGTTCATACAAGAGGACAGATTTTGGTGCAGCTTGTTACAACCACCGCCCAGCTGCGCGGCAGCCACCATCGCAAGTTAATATAATTTGCACTGTAGTTCAATATCCAGAGCAGGACCCAGATCAACATCGTCGATATTTGCAACAAGCATAACCTGCACCAGCCTTCAGTCCGCCGTGGAGATGGAAGTCCTCGCAGTCATCGTGACGACCTTGTGCGGCGGCCACGTGGAGTAGAAAGTGGTCCGGCAAAACTTCCTGCGACGGGCTGACTCGTGACCCCAGACTGCCGGCGGGGGCGTGGGGTTCTTCCAGACCGCCGACCTCCAGTGACCGATCCTCGTCGTCCGATACAGTACTTTCCTCGTCGCGCATGGCTGCAACAGACCCCCCTGCGAGAAAACAAAAGCTGTCCATTGTAGAGGTCGTTGTCTCCCCAGAAATATACCGCGATGTTACAGCAGGAGTTTTTCTCCTTGCCACAGCAGATCTGCGCTGGATGAAGTGCTGCTGGTGATCATTCTTCGTGTGCACCTCGTTTCCAACTAGTAGTCCTGCAGCTGTTCCTGCTGCTGCGCCCACGAACTGCTGCTGGTGCTGTCCCACCGCCGGCGGTGGTCCTGGAGAAAAATTACCACTATTCTGATGCGCGCCGTCGTGCAGAAGAGGTTGAAATAATCCGGGCCGGCTCCCTGTTGCCTGCTGCGGTCCCCGTGTGGCCGCAAAGAGGAGCAACAACAATGCTTGCGGGACGACCTTCATGCTCTTTTTGTTGTCGTGCGTCTTCGATTTTTGGTCCTCCATGTCGTCGTGCGTGGTCCAAGGCGGTCGTGGAGGCGAGGATGTAAATAGCTTCCGAATAGTCCTACGGGTAGAAGTGCACGCCTTGCTGCACCTGATACAAGTAGTACACGACTTGGTTGCAGCTTGGAGGTGAGCCAGAAGAGCTGGTAGAATGATCGTACTGGTACTTCTTACCCCAAAGTAGTAGTATAGATACTCCTCGCTGCGCGGCGGAGGGTCGTGATGCAGGTCATGACAAAGATGAAATACTGATAAGAAGTAGGTACAATTTTCAGTATTATTGTGATAATGCTATGACCGCCTTCGTCTTTGGCGAAGACAGAAAATCTATTTTAGGTCGTTGAGGGTTATTATTATCTTTTCAAAAAAATCTTTAAATGAGTACCATGTGGTACGTATTTATTAGTAAGCTCTGGTAGTAGAGGGGAAAAAAAAAATCACAAAGAAGGATTACCACCGGAAAATGAGATCCGAGAGGGATCTCACTCTCACGAGGCAAATTTTTCCAAGAATATGAATCTTTTCATCACGGCGGGCTTTGTAAAATTTTCTTTCGGTCGTGTAAGAATTGAGAGTACCTCGACAAGTATGGGGGGGGCGGATTTTTCTACTACACCGAACTTTTTAGTCCCCGCGGCGATACTTCTGTACGCACTGAATGACAAAAGCACGCGGGTATTAAAAACACGGTGAGGCGGGCGGAAATATGTTGATCAAAAAAGGCCTAATATCCGCATCGCGATAAGTACACTAGAGTACAGTGCGGTGGCAGGCTTGTAGGTTTACGAAACGGCACAAAAATAGAAAAGATCTTCACGACTACATTATGTTATGCGTGAGAGGTGCTCGATCGATGTTCTTGTGTGGGTAAAAATATTATCCGATGATATTTTTCAAAAAGTGTACACGGGAAGGAAGCGATAGTCTGGTCGGATATGTTTATACTACGCAGTATCGTCCTGGCTGCAGTCTACTTCCAGTGCTCGAACAAGTGGCGCCACCCTTGGAAAGAAAAAAAAAATCGTAGTGCTGCACTTGTGCTTGTTTGTCCGATGTTCTTGCTAAAAATGGAAAGCGCTTGCTGCGATCCTTATGCCCTGGCGTCGGCCTTCTTTTCAATGGGGAAAAATTTCTAAAAAAAAACGAGTGAAAACCGCCAGCGTGGGCCGTTCTTTCGATATGATCGTACTTGTGCTACTTGATAAATCTTTTATTTTTCCGTATGCGAAGGTAAATAAGTAAGTAGAATCGGGGTAGCGCAGTCGACCACCTGCTCCCTGCAAAGCTCGGTCGCTGGAGGTATTTTTCTATGAGAGTACTTTATCGTGCACTCATAAGTTCTGCCCTTTACACAGGTCGCCCGTCGAGTAGCAATTCGATTGCTTGTTCTGTGGAGGCTCTTTGGTCACTTCGATGCAGCTCCAGACCCAATGCGCGAGCGCGGTGTGGTGAATAATTCTTCCTGTCTGCCAAAATAAACAACCACGCTAAATAAAAATCAGGATTCCTATAGTGGATTATCGGGAGCGCGCGGCGATAACGTGGCGTAGTTCTACTTGCGATATAGTTTTATTTTTTTCTTTACACGCCGTGCCTCTTATTGTTCGACTTTCGTGTAGTTCTTGTTGTGCGACGTCGATTATGAGGTTTATATGCAGAGTTTATTTCATCTACTGCAGAAAGCCACTCGTATTTATTTCGAAAGAACTTTTATTACGGTTCAGTATCCGAGCTCCCGCTGCAGCGGGGAAAGCTTTTGATAAAAAAAGCCCAGTTCTTTTTCGGACAGTTGTCAGGGCTCTTGTTCTGCTCCTGTATGCTAAAATTTCTACTATACCTCCTAGTAAAAGTAGTCGCGCAGATGAGTTGTGTGGTACTCATCTACTTGACCCCGAGCGAAGTGAGCAAATAGTTACCGCACTTAATGGTCTACTTCTGCGCTGAAGTATGGAAAAGTGTGGCCTACTGTGGAGAATAAAAGTCGTAAAAAAGTGGTTGTATTGGAAAATCAAAAAACAACACCACCAGACTGTCACACACCAAGTCGTGCGAACAGGAAATTACATTGTTGTAGTTGTAATGCTGTGCTTCATAATTTCTTCTCTATTCCTTCCGTTTCTCTATAGTTTCAGCGTGTGCTAGCTTCTATCTGCTCGTGTGGCCCTGTAAAACTAAAACCCCGGAGGTGGGGAGGCTCATACGTTAAACAGGGAAAAATAGAAAGTTTGTAGTGGCGTAGTATTTGTGACGTCGTACAAATTCTTTGCTGATATTCTGTAATATCGAAAGAGCAGGTCTACGTCAGTGATGCGAACCGCGGTTTATTTCTCGTGCGGGGAGCAAATACTGAACAGCTTTCCGCAACACACGACCTAGCAGAGCCTCAATTTTTGTAAACTGTCTGATTCTTCGCGCGCCTTCCCGAAGTTTTAGTAAAACAAACCGCGTCAAGTGATGCGAGAGTAAGCTTGAAATTGAAAATTCAAAAACTAGAACTTCCTTCACCTTTATTTATTATGTGGCGAAGCTGCAACAAGGTCACGAGGACACAAGCAAGACAGTTTTAAAAATGTTTCATCTCTACTTCTGTGTGCGCCGTCGAAAGTAGAACCTACGAATTTTTATAGCGCAATACTCACTATTGAAGTGACTCTTGTGCTGGTGTTCTCCGAGGGTCTATTTGAGGCAGCTTGCGGGACAAGAGGAGAAAGATAAAGAATATGAAAACACATGGAAAATAAAATTATGTGACACGAAGTAGGCCCGATAATTTCTTTTTATGGATAAATCATATCACTTAAAGTTGAACTCAAGACTACTTCTTCGATCCAGTCAAAAAACCGAGTAGTAGAAGAGTCCATCGGCGAGGCCTGCGCATTCTATCAACAGTTAGCTGTTTCTACTTATTTTACGACGTCCATTCAATCGCAAATCAAACCGGAAAAAGCAACACAGACTTTTGCTCTCCGCAGCTTCTGTACGATTGGTGGGCTCCTTTCAGGGTCGTTTTATTATCTGAGTAATTGAATTCCGCGCCCGGTCGGTGGTCCCCCGAGATTATTCGCTTCTTTTCGCTAAAAATTATATAATCATAAAAATCTAAATCGCTACAAATCTATCGATATTGATCATCAACGATGGCACAGTCTTGCCATCAGCGAAGTAGATAGCATTAGTGGTTGTGTCATCAGGACAACTCGTCCAGAGGTAGTACTTGTGATTGTGTCATCGGGACAACTCCAGAGGTCTCGTTTCCTCGATTCGTGACTTCTCAGATTTCCTATCACAATTTTCTATTGCTGTGTGTGTGTGCGGGGGCAGCTTTGTGACAGCGAAATCTTCCTCCTAGTCGAAATAGTTCTTCTTGTACGGGCGCGGGCCTCTAAAAAATACTATCGAGATGAACTATGTACTAGAATACTCCTGAAGCTGATGTAAGGAAACAATTTCATCGAGTGACGTTCTTGACCTAGTCTTGCTGAAGATTCAGGTTAAATTAGAAACTGTGTCCTCTTTTTATGTATCAAAGTATAGCTATAGTTGAAAGCCTTTTACACGCGGAAATAACAATATCAATAATTCTTGGAACAATTATACCTCCAAAAAAAAAGCATATAGTGATAAAAATCCGAATACTATACCGCTACAAATAAAATCTACTAGTGATGTTCCATCTCCTCCTCAGATTTTATTCCTGGGATTTTTGTTCCAAAATTTTTTTTAATTCAGTTGTCTCAACATCATGATCTTCTCTAACCGCCGGAGATGAGGAGACAGAATAAGTGCGTCCGGGGTGCCCCCCAACCCGGACACCCGCCGGCGTGGCCAGAATACCGTGTATAGTTCAGTGTGCTCGAAGTTGCAGATTCGCGCGTTGCTGTCGTTGTGACATCGCAGTTTGACCACGCCGCGTTGTTTATATGCCTATAAGTGTTCTTGATCAGCGATTACATCATGAGTAAAAAGTAAGCCCCCGCCATCTTTTACATTTACTTCTCTGATGGTGGGCACAGGTCATTAATTTTATCTTCAACTTCAACTTTCTAATTCTAGTATCTCTAATTCTCCAATCGCTCCGGCTTTTCTATCATTTTTATGTTTATCATTTGAAATGATTCCTAGAGTATAAATAATCTTTAGACCAATTTGAATACACCCGGCGGGTGCAGCTACACGCCGTTTTGTTTTATCCACTACTCCCTTATGATGTTTCATCTTCACTAGCTACGGTATAATTGCTATGTATGATCCGACAACTTCGATGCGGCCGAACATAAGCGTATTAACTTCTCTACCTCACAAAGCAATACATCCTTCTTGCTCGATGGCGAGGATCAGCAGCAGGCTGCGTATAGTTCTAGATCTCCTTCTTGTTTTCTCGTCGCGTTCTATCTTCTTTCTCTATCCATACATGCTATAGTACTACCTAGGCTTAGTATCGACACAACAATCGATTGTGATTGTGTGCTGCTGGATCCGGGAAAAAATAAGAATAACTTCTGATAAGCGAGATCCATTTCTGCCGCCCTCATCATGGGCTGTTGAAGATTCAGAGGCGACGTCACTTCTGCGCCACAAAAATCTATACACAATAATTCCGGAAAAAGTATGAAACGGATCCACTCACTTCGCAGCAGCCGCGGCAACAAAAGTTCTTGTTGCATCAACAAGTCCTGGAATAAATAGCGTAATATTGGATCATGCTCAGGTCTACTGTGGGATCATGATTCTGCATTCCCAATTGCTTCGTTTTCAAACGGACAAAAAGGTCAGCTGATCTTTGATCTCACCACAAGGTCGTTGCAAAAGGAACTTTTTGCACAGCTTTTGTGAGACACCAGGTCAACATAGTGAATGCTTATCATTTGTCGAGGAAGCAAGACAAAAACCTTGGATGAACTCTCTTCGCGGCCAATTAGAAGGAAAACACGACAAAAGCTCAAGAACTGAACACTCCCACGACATCCAACCCCGGCGAAAGACTCCGTTCGTCCAGCCCTGTCGTTGAAAGATTAAAAACGGGCATCGTCCCGTAGTTCTTGCTACAGACCAATAATTCGAAAAGCAAAAAGTTGCGGTAAAAACAGCAGGTTTTTGGACGCAGCCGCGTGCAGCTTTGTCGGGCTTTTCTCAGCAGAGTTGATGAGCTTCGTCATCTTACTTTGCACACATATAGTTTCAATTGGCTGTAAACTCACGCGTGGTAAGTAAACTTTTTTATTTGATACTGTACGGAGTCTCTGTATCTACATGCGATTTTGACTGTGATTGATGAACTAGCGTATAAAAATAGCAGGTCGGCTTTACGGTGGCGTTGTTTTTTCAAAGTAAGTTTTACAATGGGCTCATGCATTAATCTTCTAGTCTAGTGCTCTGATTCAGAACCTGTGATGCAGTGTGGACATTCAAGAACTCAAAGCGGTTGGCAACTTTCTACAAACCTTAATGGGCGGCACAGGAGCATTCTATTGGCGCATTCTATTGGCTATCAACTGTAAAAGTGTCTGGGTCTGGAAGAATTCATGTTTGTCATGCTTGTCTGGCATGGCTCTTAAATCTGTCATGCACGTTACCCAAGAGAACCGTTTTTCTGTGTTGCAGAGCCGCAGTTTGTCATGCAGAATAGGCAACACCGATGAGCTTAGAAACTTGTCATGCTGAGCCAGCATTCGTAGCCTCATCATGACACGCCACCTAGCATCACAAGTTTCCAGACCCAGACATTTTTACTTTTGATATTGGCAGTAGAGGTACAACATCGAGGCGAGAGTATAGAGAGCAAGATATCATTTTCCAACTACCCGCTGCACTAGCTTGTTTCCCTCGTCCTAAGTAAACTTACAACTCGTCCTTCCCGGGCTTGGCGAGCTTCATGCCCGGCATGACCGGGACGTCGGCAAAAAACTCGGCCCACTCTTGCTCCGTGCGGCTGGCCGTGAACTTCTTCACATCCGCGCCGGTCGAGCGGGCCAGCTTGGTGAGGTACGCGTCCACGGAGAGCTTCTTTGCGCCGGACGCCGGGGCCACTTCTGATTTGTATTTATTTTCGAGAGGACTTTATTTTGGACTCAGAACATAGTAGATGAAAAAGAAAATTATGTGGTTGAAGCAAAAAACTGGTGCTGTTGTACAACTCAAAATCAATAATGCTGTACAGTCAGTTGCCCCAGAGTGTAGTTGCATGGCGTAGAGGTACCAGGTAGAACAAATAAGGTGTACTTTTTACTTGGGAAGGAAAAAAAAATGCAAAAAGAATGAAGCCCGTAAACTTAGCATTTTCCAAAAATTCTATCCGTAAATAATACTTTCCGGAGTCTTCTTCTTTTCCTTTTTCGCCGTGCGCTGCTTTTTTGCCTTCTTGGCGCCCCTATGGATTGCAAAAGTGTCTGGGTCTGGAAGACTGCCAGGTTTGTCATGCAGGTTTTCCATAACCCATGAGGTCTGGTATGTAGGACATAGCATGACAGATTCTGCGCAACCTTTCCAATGCCTATCCTGCGTGAGAAACTGCCTCTCGATTAGGTCAAAAGTGAACAACTTTCGGCAATCATGCAACACAGTTTTTTGCCTGATTCAGATTTAGCATGACAAGTTGCATTCTTCCAGACCCAGACATTTTTACATTTGATAGCCCCCCGTGGCCTCCACGCTGCAGTAGTTGAAGCGGTTACAGTATGCAAGAAAAAAGACTGTGTAGGTGTATACTTTCTTGAGAAGACATAGCATCACAAGTTTTCTCTACTGCATGACACAGAAAATAACCTGTCATGCGTAGCTAGTATCAGTGACAAAACGCACGAAAAGAGCCTCTGACGCATGCCCAGCATGACAGGTATAAGTGTCTTGTATCGTCTGCAACAGAAAGTTACACTTATACGGTTTTTTCGTTGGATATAGAGCAGAGTTTCGCGTCGAGCTTGCCCTGCAGGAAAATCTTGTAGGCGTCCTCCTCCATCTCGTCGCGGAGGTATCCTGTGCAAAAAGTATCGGCTCCCACCCCAGAGTCAACGACTGGAGATCACGCATGACAAGTTCCTCTCGGTACTATTGTAGTGCAGTTTAGCAAGCACAGCCGCATTAAAAATCCATCTGCTTACCCTGTTTACAGCATTACAAACATCAAAAAACAACTACGAATGGCCCTCATGGGGATGCGCATTACAAATCTTCCTGCACATGCAAATCTGCATGACAAATTGCTGGGGTGGAGACGACGTTTTTCCTCCGGATAGGATGATTTTCGTGCACACCTCCGACAGCCGCTTTTTCCAGTTGTCCCCGCCCATCTGGATGGTTGCCTGTCCGCCCGCGAGCTCTTTCTCCTCCGCCGCGAGAGCCGGCCCGGAAAGGACGTTTTTGCCTTGGAATTCGTTCATTTTATCTATTGCAATGTAAAATCAAAAATGATGTTAAAAAGCTCCACGTCGCGCTTGCCCGCAATCACAGCACTAGTTCTACTTGCGCCACCTACTTCGAAATTCAATTTCTTTTTTTGTAAAATGCAAAAACTCCAACGGGAAACAATATATGAAGGTGTTCTATACCGTTCAAAATATGGATGCGTCAGGATCGAAATTGACAAAGTCGAAAAATTTGTAATGCATAAAATGTAGGGCACGCGTGGCCTGTGTTGGGAAGCAGGCAAATGAGTCCGATTGCAAGCCTGTTTAGGCGTGTGCAATGTGCTGCCAGAGTAGCATGACAGGCGCAGTCTCTGTTGCCCAAACAGCATGACAGACTGCATTTGGGTGCTCCCGAAATTTGTCATGCGCCGCTTGCAAACTGAGACTCCAACTGGTATCGATTTTATGCATGACAAATTATTTCAACTTTGTCGATTTCAAACCTGACGCTTCCATACAAAAGCTTGACTCCGTACCCCTCGTACACGTCGGGGCTGCAGGCTTTTTCCATCATGTTATCAACTGTAAAAGTGTCTGGGTCTCCTGGAAGATTCTGACACTTGTCATGCGCGTTTTGCATGAGCCACGATGTCTGTGATGCATACCCTAGCAATACAGATTTTTTGAGGGCTTCGGCTTCTTGATGCCCATTCCGCATGACAAATGCCTTCTCAGCGTAGCAAGAAATGCATTGTTCCCTTTGCTATTCATGCACTACAGATTTTTTTGGAATCCAAATGCAGCATCACAAGTTGCATTCCTCCAGACCCAGACATTTTTGCACTTGGTACATGTCCTCGACTTCCCACTCCCGCAGCTTCCCCTCGCGTGACTTCGTTCCCCGGTTGAAAAACGTGGCATTTGTATCATTTGTAAAAACGTCCTCACTCCCCATAGTTGTAAAATGCAATTCTGCATGCTGAAGATGTTTCTCATGCGGAGCCCCATGAGCGAGGCGCTTGCTAGTTGTGTTTCGGAATTTGTCATGCTCCAATCAGCACCATCACGACGCGCTGGGTCTGTGTTTATGCTGGCGAGCTAGCTCGAAACACGACTACACTACGAGGATCGAAACTTGTCATGCGCAACAGCCAAGCCTTGTGGATTTGTCTAGTTGATTTCCCATCTTGACTACTTATGGGGTCGTGGGGACGTAGTTTTTACACAGGATAATTTGTGTGGAACATCACGGACTTGCACGAGTTGCACATGTACATGGCCGGCATGTTGTAGCCGTGCTGGTCCTCCTCCGTGATTTGCGGAGCCTCGATCTGTTTGTTGGCATCAAGGGGGTTATTTTACAAACATGCTTTTTACCCCTTCTGAACAACGAGATGTTGACGCAAGAATCGTACAAAAGACCCGGCGCATGTGGTGCCACTGACAGAAAGCCTAATTATACGGAATCAACAAGAAACACGTTTAACATTTTCCCTTACGCAGAGGCAGAAGCCGCAACTACATCTCGAATTATATCATATAGCTATGTCCTATCCTGTAGTACAACAAGTATACCTTGATGCTCTGCAGTGGTCGCCCTTGCTCATCCGTTGGTGGGGGTGCATCTGGAATCCCACCGCCCATCATCGGTGCTGAACCACCATCCATTCCAAACTGTGCGGTAGCAAGCTGCGCGGCAACAACGCCGGCGAAAGCAACGCGAGCGAGCGTAGAAGTCGGCATTTTTTTTTAAATCTTTTCTGGCTTCTTTTTAGGCTGCTTGTTCTCAGCGAGAAGAAGAGACCACGCTAAAGATGTGCCTATTGCGTGCAAACCGTTCGGGGTGGAAGTGCTCACTTTGCGCTTCTACGAGACTTGGTGTTGGATAGTTTTCGTCATGGACTTTTTACGGAAAGAACAAAAATCAAGCACTTTTGAAGATCATTCGGAACTGGAATTCAAGAAAACGCAACAAGAAAAACTGAAAATACTAACCGCTTATGTTGATCTTAATACGCAGAAAATATGTATGGTTTATTCCAAATCGCACCGCTAGAAAAGAGCTGATCGTGATCGGTGAAAAGATGAATTCCAATGAAAACACCATGCAGAGGAGGAACTCGAGTGACAGGGAAGAAGTTTGGAGTCTTTTACTGGGGTAGTAAGTAATCTTCACTTAGGGGTGTTGTCGTGGTCCTGGATTTTTTTCGCCGGAAACATAATTCGTCAGCTTTTTACTCTTTTTAAGTACCTTGTTAGCAGCAAGACAGTCTTTGATAGGCTATTCTATTCCGCTAATAAGTACAACGAGAAAGCTCTAGATTGGAAATTCCGTCGATTGGCAGTACTGTTGTGAAAAAGACATGAACATGCGACCACCTTTGTTGTACACCTTTATTTCTCTCTCACCCCGCAACACCTTTGGGCGTATTCAGAGCTGCGCAGGACTACAGCAATGACATAGGACTTCTTGAAATTTTTTGCTAATACACAACACACTTTTACTGCATCTATAAGCAAGATTTCCTTTACTCGACGTAGTATTTTTATCCTGACTACACGAGCCTGCAGCGGGGGGTGGCGACTGACATTTTTAATGTACATAGCATTGCATCGCTTTCTTCCTTCATTCATTCTTCGAAGTTTGATGTTACAATCCGCTGCTGTTGTAGGTCCTCCAATCTTCTGACAAAGCCTATACTTCTACTGTACTCTACACAGCTTTGCATCAAGAACTTCTCGCCAAATCACCTGGACTACACTTCGACTCAGGCTGTGATGTTCGTTCTTGCGCAAGGAGGACCTTTGCAACTACAGCTTTCATTATGCACCTCCAGGAACATCATCAACGACAAAGACGGAAAGCAAAAGAAAATAGACCGTGGCAGCTGCCTGTGCATTTCATCCCGCTCCCGCAAAATGTTGGTCCGAGATCGCCGAGAACAGCTTGCGTGTGGAAGATCTGAACATGGGGACGGCGGCGCATGATGAATGCTGCAGCCGATTTATCGGAAGGAAATGTCCCCCCTCCCCATATTGAAAACGCATTCCTCTGAAGATTTGTGATGCAGATTTGAGGCCACAAATCCTGCCTGTCTTGCAAGAAGGCAAAGCCAGAGAGTCCGCCGCATTATGCCGGCGGTTTGTGATGCTGTTGGGCTTACAGAGCCGACCTCTGTCATGCTAGTCCCCTACGTCGAAACCTCTCGACCCAGGCTTGGCATATACCTGCAGTTCTCTCCAGCAAGACAGACTTGATTTGTGTACGCAAATCCAGCATCAGAAACTTCGTTTCGATATGGGGAGGGGAGATTTTTCCTTTTGATACGATTCTAGTACAACCCGTTCTATCACCGCCGCCCTCCTCGGTTGGATCCCCTGGATATCGCAAGGAAAAATCCCCCCTCCCCATATTGAAGAGGTAGGTTTTCGAAAATTTGTGTTGCTGATTTGAGGTCACAAATCACGTCTGTGTTGCAAGAAGACAAGGGCAGCAGCTTCCGTCCCATTATGGAGGCGGTTTGTCATGCTGTTGAGCCAACATCACGGACGCTTCTCATGCTAAGCGCCTAAGTCAAAGCATCTCTGCTCAGGCTTGATATGGGTCTGCAGTCCTCTCTAGCAAGACAGATGTGATTTGTGTACTCAAATACAGCAACACAAATTCCGCTTTCGATATGGGGAGGGGGGATTTTTCCTCACAATACTGGACCCGCTGGACCCCGTGCTCCCCCGGGAGGTCGATCGGTGGCGCGCGCTGGTGGTAGCGGCACCAATTGAAGATGAACCTCCTGCCCCTGCGGTCGTGTTCGTTCCCACTGGATGCTGCTCCTGCTGCAGTTTCGCGATGCGGCGCTGCAGGCTGGTGAAGTTTTCCCGCCAATCTATCCTGAGGAAAAACGGGGCCCACACACCAGAGTCAAGATGTTGGGAAATCTGCTAGACAAATTAGCCAGCTTTGGTTGTTTCGCATGACAAGTTTGATGTCCTCGTAGTGTAATCCTGTTTAGGTAATGTTGAGAAGCATCACAGATCTAGCACATCATGCTGATTTTAGCATCACAAATCCCAAAAACACGACTGGAAAATGCTTCTCATGGGGCTCCGCATAAGGAACTTGTTTGGCATGCAGATTTGCATGACAACTCTGGGGTGGGGACGTTTTTACACAGGATACAATCCTCCAAGCAATCCGGCATCTTCTGCAAAATCTCCGTGGCGCGCTCGTAGCACTCCTCGGCGGTGGCCAAGTCTCCGTTGGTGCAATGCAGCGTCGCAAGGAGGTACCTGAGGAGGGGTGTCGGATGAACGGTGAAAAATGTGTTTTTATAGCAAGAATAGCTAGAGGTTTATTTTACAATTTTGATTCATTGTACATGAGAATTATGGCAGAAGTCTTGAGGCATTAACAGATTCGTGACCAGCACCTCCACCGGGAGGGATCTGGAAAAAAAAATTATTCCGATATGATGTTCATGAAGAGGCGATGACTATGAACATCAAAAGTGTCAATTTTTTATACCAGCACTGCACGTCCTCTTCGTTCAGCTGGATCAAGTGCGACAGCAGTCCCTCCGCCTCGGTGAACATGCGCAGGTCGATCATGGTCGTGACCAGCTTAATTTGCAACTCCGGCGGTGCGTCGTCCAAATCATTATCGTCAGCGCTGTCCTCCTCCTCGTCGCTGTCGAGATTTTCCATGTCCGAATCAAACTCCGTCTCCATCAGCATTTTTTGTTCCGCGTCAGTGATGGCAGTTGTATTTGTATTTCCCATTTCACCTTCCAGTAACGATGCCGGTGACCCGGCGGGGCTACTCTCCGCGAACGTCGTGTCTACCATGTCGACGTCCATGTTGTCTACTCCCGCATTGCTAGTACAAGAACCCGATGTAGTTGACGACTCCTGCGCCACATAACAACCAGATGCTTGTTCAGCTGCGGCGACAGCGACGGCACCAGCTCCGGTAGCTTGATGGCCGATCATTACTGTTGTGGACGTCGAAGATGTGGTGGTTGACAGCGTCTTGTTTCCATTCACCAGTGATGTCGTGGTGGAACTACAACTGCTCGAAGATGTAATATTAATCGTGTCCGTGATAGCTGCACTTGCAAGAAGAGTCTTGCTGTTCTTCCTCGAACTCGCCCGGCTGCTGTTGCGCTTGTTGTTGTTCTGAGAGGAACAAATTTTGTTTTTCGCATGATCAACATCAGCAGCAACGTCTTCCATTTTCTCGTTTTCTCTGTCCTCCTCGTCTCCACCTTCCACGTCGAACAGCTGACACGCTTTCTCGTTGATCTTCAGCACGGTCTCGTACGCGGTGGTCGCGTACTCAATCGCCTTCTCAATGTTCTGCACGGTCTTGTGAAAACACGCCAACGCAACCTGCACCTCCGGGTGGGTCTCGTCGTACTCGTACGCTTTTTATCAAATGCAAATATGTGGTCTGGGTCGGGAAGACTGGGGGTTTCTCATGCACATTTTGCATGGCCCGTGAGGTCTGTGATGCAAGTCCTAGCATCACAGATTTTTGAAGGCTTCTTGATGCTTATTTCGCATGAGAAATGCCAATCTCTCCGCGTGCCAAGACCTGAACTCCTCTTGCTGATCATGCCACACAGAGGTTAGAACAATCCGCAGACAGCATTACAAGTTCCATCCTTCCAGACCCAGACATATTTGCAATGCATACTTTTTCGAGGAAGAATTTGCACTGCTCCTCGGCCTCCGGTTCGTCACAAAGGTCGGTCATATAGATCTCGCTCATGGCGACCAGAATCGTCCCCGCGGACACCGGTTTTTCCTCCGCGTGGAGGACATTTTCCAGCTCATCGAGCTCCTTGTCACGACCGGCCGGGTAGGGGTGGTCAGAACCTGTTGTACTTCTACCCGTGGTCGTCGTGTTCGATGTTCCTTCGGTCGCGCTAGTATTATTCGACGTTGCCGCGTTATTATTTGCTGTTGCACCATGAAAGTCGTTCTTCCTCGACGACGATCGCATGTTGGTCTTCCCACTCTTCTTACAAGACGACTGCTTTTTTTTGCAGCTGCTGCTCCTACTGCTTGCGCGATTTGCAGCAGATGCGTTGCCGAAAATTCCGCCGGCAAGATGTTGACCACCTGCGTCTTCCTCCACGTTGACGTACCCGACGACCTTCAGCGCCTCTTCGTACAACCGCAAGGCGTCGTGCCCGTCCGACATCTGCGCCAGATACAAGTTATTCTGTGCGAAAGTATCGTGCTCCGTATTGCAATCATGCATTACAAATTTTTTTCGTAAGGTAAATCCGCATTACAGATTTCATTTCTCATGCTGCGGAAATTTGTAATGCATTTATACAAGTATCGGATACTTTTGCAATTCATACAAGTACTTCTTCGCGGACAGGTTGTCTCCGTTATCAAATGTAAAAATGTCTGGGTCTGGAATGTTGCCGGGTTTATCATGTATGTTTTGCATGACCCAGGATGTCTGTAATGCATGACTTAGCATCGCAGATTTTTGGAGGGCTTCCTGATGCCTAATCCGCATGACAAATGCCCTCCCCCCTTAGCACAAACTAGGCTGCTCTTGCTGATCATGCAATGCAGATTTTTCTAGAGTCCAGAGTTAGCATCACAAGCTCCAACCTTCCAGACCCAGACATTTGTACATTTGATAGCCGTAGCCCGGGTGCAACTGGATACTCCGGCAGAAGAGCTCCCGCGCCGCGTCCGGGTCCTCCGCCCCGAACTGACAGAGAAACTCTCCGTAGGCGTCCAGGCCGCGGTGGTCATTCGGGTGGTCCTCCACGCACTTCCGCAGAAACCGGTCGGCGAGCTCGGTGTCCGGCTGCCCGGCGTCGAGCAGCTGCTTCACCTTGATCAGCATGTCGGTCACCTTTTTCTTTTCCGCGAGCGTGGGCGCCGCATTCGAATTAGTACCATTCTTCGCGTTGGACGTGGAAAAGTTCGCGAAGAACGGGTGCTGAAACTGGAAACCCGGCATGGTTGGGAATTTTCAAGTTGTTGAGGGTTTTTTTCTGCTTTTTCTTCTACAACTCGATGTCTAAAACTACCCCTAAAGTGCTCTGATCAGCGACCCGCACGTGAATATCTTTTGTAGCCTTTCGATTTGTTCTTTCGCCCAATGCAAAATGTTGTCGTGGGAGTGTCTGCGAGTTGTATTTTCTTCTATGTCCTTGTTGTGGATCCGCGAGAAACTTCTATGAGCTGCAATTAGGCAGTACAGAAGGAAGTGCTTGATAAAAAGCCGTATTCTTGGTGTAGCAAGCTACAGCCGTAGCTGCTAAAATTTTGCAAATTTTTCCGGCACCATCTTGGAGACGATGCGGGGCGACTTTGGAAAAGTCACGCCTGTTGAGTTGTTTGGGTAGGTGGAATGAATGTGAAATGAATGTAAAGTAGGTAGAGTTCTACTATGTGGTGCTCTAATGTTAAGTACTACCACCACTTGATCCATTAATGATCCAAGATTTTGATCAGCCCTACACCTTTGTGGCTTCTACTTCAGAGATCCTGATGTCCTTTGATGTACTGAGGAGATTTAAGAAGATCCAAAAGCGTTATAAGGCAACGCGGATCTTAGTATGAATTAGGTGATCTACAACTTCGTAGACAGGCATTATTTCTGTTGGCGGACCGGAAGATGCTAGTGAGTAGCAGTAGCTGTACCACAAAAGGCATGCGTTGTGATGAAAGCTGTGTCAATGATCCAGTGTAAAAACGGTGACGGTGGCCTGAGTAGATTGCAGCAAGTTGCAAAAATTCTTAAATGCAGGAATTTTTGGTCTTGGACATAGTAGGACAACTTATTTGTCATGATCTTTGTCTGGATTATTCCCGCATCTCGGGTTTTCGCAGGTGGCACAACTTTTTTCAGGTTTTTCTTTTTTCATTTCATAACCTGTTGCTCTGATCAGAAATAACTATGGCCCCCTTATTCGTGAACCACCAACGGGGTAGCAAGCGGATTTTCATGATGAGATGCACTGCTATTTCCGCTGGTTCCATCCGGCTTTGTCCCAGAACCTTCGACCTCCCGTGACAAGCACTTGTAACACCCGGGCTCGTCGAAAATGTAGCTCGCGAGGAAGAGAAAAATGAAAAAGATCTGGCTCAACTGCCCCACGCCAATGTAGGTGATGATTGTGTCCGCTCCGAAGCGTGCAGCGGATCTTTCTGTCGATAAAGCCGCACCATCGCTACTGCTCGTGGCCTGCTGCTCCGTTGAAGTGCTCATCTGGGAGGTAGTTCTTGCGTAGTAATTTCTAGCGTCGAAACCGAAACCAAGCACGAACTCCAGCAACATGCCCGCCCGAATCACAAACGCCAGTGCCATGCCGAACACGATCAGGAGCCGGGCGTAGAGCGTAGAACGGATTTTTCTTCGTTGGGACAGTAATTCCAAGAGCTTCTGCGCCAAATTGTCGACGGGCTGGCGGTGCTGGTCCCGTTCCAAATTGTCCATGCCGCTGCGGGCACTAGTTCTGATCGGGCGATCCTCATTCCGCTTCCAATTCACACCACTGCCACCTGCGACCAAAACCGCCTGGGCCTGCACGATCGTGAACAGCAAGCAGTGCGCCAACGACTGCGTAAAGAAGAACGCCGCGAACAGGAGGTGGACGAAGGAGCGAAGCTCAATGCCGTCATCGGGAGAGGACCCGTCGTGCACAGCTCGAAGAGGCTCGGGAGGTGGTGTGCTCGCCGGCGCGGCTGCTGGAACTACTGTCTTGCCACTTGGTATTAATCTTGCCGCCGTGGCGAGAGCGATCTCGGTTTCGAAAATCGTCTCCGTTACGAAGAAGAAATTTTGCTGTAGGTGTACTAAGCCCTGGCCCGCGAGTCCGATACCCGACATCCTACAAAAAAGAAGCGCAGCGATACCAGAGGGAAAAGCGCCGTAGATCCGCCTCGGGTATTTTTCATATATTCGTGGCACAGCAGGGCCCTTTCTTGCCGCTCCCCGCGGCCAACTTTCTGATGGCGCTTTTCTATCCCGGGTCTTAGGCGCTTCGTTTAAGTGCTTCGCTTAAGTGCTTCGCTTAGGTGCTTCGCTTAAGTGCTTCGCTTAGGTGCTTCGCTGAAGTGCTTCGCTTAAGTGCTTCGCCGAATTGCTTCGCTGAAGTGCTTCGCTGAAGTGCTTCGCTGAAGTGCTTCGCTTAAGTGCTTCGCTTACGTGCTTCGCTTAAGTGCTTCGCTTAAGTGCTTCGCCTAAGTGCTTTGCTTAAGTGCTTCGCTTAAATAGTGCGGCGCTTAAGTCGTTCGGCGCTTAAGTCGTTCGGCGCTTAAGTCGTGCGCCGCTTGACTCGTCCGTCGGCGCTTAAGTCGTGCGTCCCTTAACTAGTGCGTCCCTTAAGTAGTGCGTCCCTTAACTAGTGCGTCCCTAAACTAGTGCGTCCCTTAACTAGTGCGTCCCTTAACTAGTGCGCTCCTTAGCTAGTGCGCTTTTAACTAGTGCGTCACTTAACTAGTGCGCCCCTTAATTAGTGCGTCCCTTAACTAGTGCGTCCCTTAACTAGTACGTCCCTTAACTAGTGCGCCCCTTTTTAACTAGTGCGTCCCTTAACTAGTGCGTCCTGTAACAAACTAGTGCGTCCCTTAACTAGTGCGCCCCTTTTTAACTAGTGCGTCCCTTGACTAGTGCGTCCCTTACCCAGTGCGCCGCCTGCACAAAATTTTTCTCCTCTTGTGGCCTCAGCATAGAGAGAGCTTCTACTTGCCGTGATGCAAACTGAGCAGGCCAAATTTGTTTTTCTGCTGGTCGCATGGGTGTCCTTTTCTGTAGAATACCTGAGCCGAGGAAAAAGCGCGCAAGTATCTTGTAGTCCCGGACGAACAGGAAGAATTTGCATCGGAGTCGGGCCAGCCGCTGAAAAAAAGTTGCTGACGACGTCGCTGCACCACGTAGTTCCCCTGGGGGGTCCCCGTCGGCCGCGGCGATCTGCGCCACGTCCTCCCAGTTTCGTCGCAGCGTGCTCGTTATGCATATGCAAAAGTAACGTACTAGTATAAATTGCATTACAAATTTTTCCAAAAGAAAAAATGGAATTTGTGATGCTGACTCGCCTAAAAAGGGAGATTGGTAATGCATGACTGCGATTACTACGAGTACGATACTTTTGCAGAGGATACTCGCTTCCGAACAACACAGGAACACTATCCCGCAGAATTTGCATCGGAGTCGGGCCTATGCATGGCAAATGCGTCCGGGTCTGGAAGAGTGCAAACTTGTGATGCGCATTTCACAACACATAAAAATTTCTCATGCATAGGCAGCAAAAGTTACCAATTTTCTGTCACCAAATGGGAGGTTTGTCATGCAGTTTCGGCATTGCGGAACCTTCTCGACGAAATCTGTGATGCTAGAGCTTCCATGCCAGACCTTGTTCTGACTGCGTCATGCAAAAACAGCATGACAACTCGTCCAGACGCAGACATATTTGCACTTGATAGGGCCAGCCGCTGGAAAAAAGTTGCTGACAACGCTCTTCTTGCACGTAGTTCCCCTGGGCGGTGGTCCTCGTCGATTTCAACCTGGTTCGTCGCTGTGTAATTTGTTTTCTCATCCTCTCCGACGTAGTTCTCTTGTGAGAATGTATGTTCATCTGCATGGTGTTCATCTTCGGCATTTATTTCTATTCCACCTCCCGCCGCGGCAATTATCTCACGAAAAAACTGTTTCACTGTGATGATTTTGCAAGATCTGCATCACAAGTTTGTTACGCATGACACAGAAAATTTGTCATGCGCGCTTCCCAAAGGAAAACACGCTTGCAAATCCACTGTCTTGCAGGTGTAGCAAGACAAATGGTTCTGTGTTCCATTTTCGCCATCACAAGTCCACAGTGAAACAGTTTTTTCTTGCGATAGCAATCTGCGCCACGTCCTCCCAGTTTCGTCGCAGCGTACTCGTTTCCGAACAACACAGGAATAGTATCCCGCAGAAAGACACCAGGCCAAACGACACATCCGCGCGGAGGCGCTGCCCGCGGGTCTCGTTGCAGGTCAGGGACACCGGCAAGATGACATTTCGGTGCCGCTCGTAGCTATCGTACGAAAAAAGTGTTTCACTGTAAGGATTTTGCAAGTTTTGCATCACAAGTTTGTTTTACATGACCGCGGAAATTTGCCATGCGGCGTTCCTACGGGGAAACACAGCTAGGAATCCATTGTCTTGCATTTGTAGCATGACACGCAATTCTGCGATCCATTTTCTGCATCACAAGTTTACAGTGAAACAGTTTTTTCTTGCGGTAGTAGCTGCCGACGTACTCGTTGGACAGAATGCAGAAAAAATTCACGGTCAGCACCACGGCAAGGACCAGGCGGTGATCTGAAGAAATTGGTGTGAAGAACGAAGACATCTTTATTCTTCATATGTTTTTATGTAGTATGCGGCTTTGCTAGAACAACTTGACTCTCGGGTAGTACTGCAGGCGTGGAAAAAAGATGAACCAAGTTCGTTGTACTCCTTACTGTAAAATAAAGCCGCAAATTTTTATACATAGGACGAACCCCATCGAGTCGGAGGAAGAAGCGGATCAAGCAAAAAACGAACCTATCGAAAAACAAATGATGAAAAAACAACCGCAAAGTGTGATGAAGTAGAACACCTTCCGCAGACGTCGAGGTACTATGTTATTTCTGCCGGACCCTCAAATAAACCCGTTCGAAGATTCATGTCGTCGCGTAGCCGCTCCCGCCCGAATTTTTGGAATTATTCCGGTTCTTCCAGGGCTGCTTTTTCCAATTTCAGGTATGACGGAAAAAGAAAACCGCTCTGCACAGGTGGCGAAATGAGCATTTTGCATAATGCATAGCATAATCATTTTCATCGAGTTTTTATTGGTGCATCACGAGAAGAAACTTTTAATGAAGAACCTCTCTACCACATTGCAAAAAGCCAACAAGAGACACCTGCAGCGGTGGAACTAACATCACACACATCAGAGCGATAGGCTTCATCTCCTGTGCATAACCATTCCCCTTTCCATTGTTTTTCACGACATCTGCGTAACTTGGTATCACGTCGCTGGACTGCAGACCAAGGCCGCCGGATGAATTTCGGTTGTTTTTTCCACCGCCGGTGTTACTTCCGGTCGATCCAGAAGATTGCGGCTGCTGCTGTTTATTTCCCTTACCGCCGCCCTTGTTATTACCCCCGTTAGCGTTACCACCACCACCGCCGCTGCCCTGCTTTTGCTTCTTGTTCCCCGCTGTATTGTTAGCGGCTGCCCCTAGCGCCAGCTGCTGCTGCCGCCACGCGCCCGGGAAGTAATTCCCTTCGAACTCCTATCCAGTGCAAATATGTCTGGGTCAATGGAAAGTTGATGTGATGCTCATGTCACCGAACGCAGTACTACGCAATGTAACTCTATTACGGGGCCGCGCAACATGTTGACAAGATTCTGAGCATGATTATGTCTAGCTGTTATTTCACTGCATGACAAAAAATCGCCTTTTCGCATGACAAATCGAAGTGGCCGCGCAGCTCTAGTGCAACAAGCATGATACTCTTTTCTGCCCCATGTCGGCCAAGCATGAGGACAAACTTGCGTTCATATTATCCAGAGCAGGACCTCCAGACCACATGTTTGCAATGAATAACTCCTGCCACAGTTTGGCAAACTCGCCCATGAAGGCCTCGACCATCCGCCGGTCGTTGCTGATCACGAGATTTTCCCGGTTGCGCTTAGCCACTATGCATTGCAAACATCCCTGGATGTGGTCTGGAACACTGCAACTTGTCATGCTAAGTCTGGATCCGATGCAAAAAAATCTGTGTTGCGTGATTATTATACCAAAAATTATCGCACACTTTTGACCCAGTCGCGGAGGATTTTCTCATGCAGGGTAGGCATGACAGTAGAGGTCTCACAAGAATCAGGTCCTGTATTCCAGCGCTCATAGGTCATCATGGACGAAAATAACCAGCATGACAAGTTTCGCAATCTTCCAGGAGAGGACCCAGACATGTTTGCGATCCGTAGCCGCGGCCCGCGTCCAATTGTAGGAACCGTTGATCACGTACAGGCCATCGATGACGCAAAACTTGTGGTGCATGTGACTAAATTGGTCGTTGTCGTGGACGATCGGTAGCTGCTCGCTCAGCGCGTGGATGTCCGCGCCGAGCTATTACAGTGAAAAATGCCTGCGCCCCGGAATTTGCAGAAGTTTGTCATGCAAAATTTCCAAATGAAAGCCTTTTGTCTTGCATAAAAGGATTGTGAGCGTTTCTGATGCAGAATCAGGGTGCGCAACGTGCCTTGTGCATAACAGATCCGGCTGCTGTTGGGCTACTTCGCAACACAAATTTGACCTATTCAGCATGGAAAATTTGTGATGCTGAGATATGCAAGACGAGGAATGTTTCTGTTGGAAAGGTTTACAATACAAATGCTGCCAAGCTGGGGGTGGGGGCATTTTTCACTGTAATACGAGCGCGTCCGCCTGGTCAAGATCCGCGATGATCCGCACGTGGACGTTTCTGTGGAACAGGTCCAACAGAATTTCCGCAATTTCGTTATGAGAGTGCACAAACCCCCCTCCCCCTCACGTGGAGCCTGTGCATGACAAGCTCACGACGCACCTAATGTGGTACAGTTTGTGCCTCCGTTGTCGTTTGTCATGCAAACAGTGCCACAAGGCAGCAATTGGATTTGGAATTTTGCATGACAAGTGAGGGAGATCAGGGGAGGGGTTGTGCACTCTCATATTCATCATCCGTCAGTGTGAAAATGCAGATGTCGATCCAGAACTTCGTACTTCGCAAAACTTCCAAAAACCGCCGCCTATTGGCCCCACCGCCGCGGGATCCGCCACCACTTTTGCCGCCGCCCCCGCCCATGAGCGGGGAAACGTGCTCGGGGAAGAAGAGACAGTCCAAAATGTCCCCCTGGGCCTTCTGGGACACGGTCCTTTGGTAGTTGTTGGCAGCCTCCCAACGGTCCACGCGCTGCTGCGTGCTGCTCTTGAGAAGCTTGGAACAACACTTCCCCATGGTCGATCGACCGGTAGTGTGATGACAGAATTGGAAATATTACTTAAATTAACATCGCTGCGAAAAAAGATAAATAAAAGTCGTGTACTGAGACCTAGTAGTGCGTAGTCAGAGACAGAGTAGAACCTACCTTGTGCTGCTATTGATGCTGTTGACCAGAATCACACGACAGCGTCGCTCCCAGTCGAAATTCCGCTTAGCGCTCACCCGCTCTCGGGAAAATATGAATATCTCGCAAACTGCCCATTAAAAATAAACCCGAAGCGACATCGTCCTGGGCGGTCGGTTTGTGTCTTGACGCTTTTGGTTGTTCATCGGCAGAGTTTTGCAAATTGCATTGTGGTAGAAGTGGTCCTGTTAGAAGAACATGATGGGCTCTAGAGGTGAGGTGGTCCGTGCTGGATCGCACGGTTTGCTTAGCATGCAGCTCTATCGAAACCTTGTTGAAAAAATATTGGTGTAGTTCGGTCAGGCGATTCTCCGTTTGCAGCTTTACGCTGTGTAGTACAGTACATGTAAGTAAAGTAAAGTAAAGTCGTGCGTCGTTTTCTTCTTTCTTATTCTAATATACACTACGGCCCAAGTCGCGTCCCGTGCGCTGCTTCCTCTTCCTAATCCAGTGGACCTTTTAGCAGATCGGGCTCCCCCTCCGTGGTCCACGAAGAGCAAGGTATGAAACTTATCATATGCAAAAACATCCCCACCCCAGAGTTGTCATGCAAATCTGCACTCCAAAAAGGTTTGTCATGCGGAGCGCCATGAGAGGCATTGTCTAGTCGTGTTTTGGAATTTGTGATGCTACAATCAGCATGATATACTAGATCTGTGATGCTGCTGAACTACCTAAACAGGATTACACTACGAGGACGAACTTGTCATGCCAAACGACCAAAGCTGGCTGATTTGTCTAGCAGATTTGCCATCTTGACTCTGGTGTGGGTACGTTTTTACTCAGGATAAAACTGGTAAAAAAGCTAGCGGCTCGCACGCGCTTCTCCGGGTGCAGAAATTCAAATTTTCCACGCAAAGCAGGAGATGACTCTTTAAAAATGTATCAATTGTAAGCTTTGTTTCAAGAACTACAGCTGCAGCGTGCAAAGAAAACTTGACTCAGATCTGGAAAAGTTCTGACCGCATTTGAAGTCGGGCCGTATGATCTACCTCTCCTTTCGTACCCTCCGTTTCTAGCGCGTTCAGAGCTTCCCAGTTTTCCTGCCGCTCCTTCTGTTGATCGGCGCTGAGATTGCTATCATTCAGAAAAGTAGTTGCGATCGATCATCTTCCCGCGCAGAAGTTGCATATAATTAGCAGGGTTTTTTTCTCACTTTTTCAACGCAACTTCTTGCCGAGTCTTCATGCACACGGTATTTTTAATTGTTTTGACTCACACAACCACCGTTGGGCTGTCCTACCGCACTGTGATCCTTTCCCTTTCATAGGTTCGCACGCCGGAGTATTGCGCTTCTATTCCCAACTCCGCAAAGTCGTCCGGGGCCGCTTGCGTCTTTGCTTTCGGCGTTGGCCGGCGGGCGCTGAATGGAAGGTTTTGTGATGATAGATTACCAAAGAAGTCGAGCTCCAAGGCTTTGAATCATTCGTTCCTTTTGTCATGTGAGTAATTACATCAAAAACCACCTGACCACTGTACCGATCAGCGGCCCGGCCCTTTCTGCTATCTTTCGAAACGGAATCGAACCCGGCTTCTTCGTCGGTCCACGTGCAGAGGATCACGCGAAAAAATTGCTACTAGCACAGAGTTGAATTACACAGCCTGTAGAAGCTCACCTTGCTGAACAAGAACGTTTTTGTTTCTCCACAACTAATTATATGTGAACAGCTCGTGGCAGGAAAGATCCTTACTCTGGCACTACGCTGTGCTAGCATCTTTTCCGTCGGATACCGCCGTCGTCATCGGAACCCGGGGCGGTCGTAAGTGCAGTTGTCTCCTGCTGGTCCCGCGACGATCGCTCTTTGCCTCCACTACTCGATGCGCGTTGCGCCGCCTGCAGCTCGTTGACTTCCGCCTGGAGAGCGGTGAGACGATAGCCCAGCATGCGCTCGAAACACCGAAAGGGGTGGCAGTAGAACATACTGTTTCTACTACGGCGGAAGCCGCGGATTGAGCGCCGCGGCTACGCGTTTTATTCCCTGGCTCTGCAGTGCGGTGAGGAAAGGGAGCTCGGCCGGGAGTGCTTGTTGTTCAGGTGGGGGGTGCTTACTTCTTCGTCCCCTCTCCGTATCGCCGGGAAGATTCCTCGCTCCGAACGGTGCCCTGCTCTCTCTGCGAACAGGCAACAAAGGACGGCGCATGCACAGGGCACCCCGTGCTGCGGCAGCCGGACGCATTGGAAGGCATACCACGATGCACCGAGGGGCGTCGCGATCGTCTCCTGCGCCGGCGCGACGGCGTGCTTCTTGGAGCGCGCTGCCCGCCGGTCGGATCTTCGGTTCGGGCGGGGCCGGCGCGCACTGGCATGACGGCGCGCCCGTACCGAATTCAAAAGGCCGGCCGCGAGCGTGCGGCCGGTCCCTGTACCGAAAAGCAGGCCGAAAGCTTCGGAACCCCCCCCCCCCGCTGGGCGCAGCTTCGCAGCCCCCCAAGCGGGGCGCGGCGGAGATAGCACCGCGGCCGAGCCCTGCTCGCTTCGCCCAAGACGCGCAGGCTTCGGACTTGCGCAGTCGGCGAGCGGCAGGCCGGCGCCCGGTCGTGCGGGGGCCCCGGGGTGCGGGCGGGGGGGGGGGAACCGCGTGCGGGGCGCTTACCAGAAACCGCGCGGCCGGACCAGAAGGAAGCAGCCCGGCAAGCGGGGACCGCTGGGTGCGTCGGGGTACCGCGATCAGCGGAGAGGAGGGATTGGGGGAGGAGGGGGGAGGCACTTTGGGAAGTGGCCCCTAGGGGCGCTATGTTTGTGCTCTTGCATCCCCTTTTACCTATTTCGAGTAGATGAGCTCCACTTAGGTAGCTATGTAGCACTCGGGTGGGCCTTAAGTGGTTTAAGGAACAAGCTGAGACTCAAACTGAGAAAGAAAAACCTTGCGAATGGGCAGAAAATACCCCTACCAAAGTTGGAAAAAAATATCTGGGCGGTGCAGAAACTTGAAAAGTTGGCCAATATGCCACAAAATGGACAGTGTTTATCTTGGTTTTCCTGTGTATTTTATCTTATGGATCAGATGACGAAAAGTGTGGACGAATGTGCCTCATTTTTAAAAATTTTAAAAATTGAAAAAAAAATTCAGATGTTGCGCAGACATGTGAAATACTTGCGAAATAGGCTAAAAAATACACATAGTCCCAATGTTTTTGCGTGTTAACAATTGTGGTGTTGGTGGGGTGCACACCACCAGCGCCACAAATTGGCACGCCTGCGCCTGTAAAATGTAACAATTGTGGTGTTGGTGGGGTGCACACCACCAGCGCCACAAATTGGCACGCCTGCGCCTGTATATCGTAGATTTTACAGCCTTAGCGCTTCAGGGTCGTACTTAGCTGGTTAAGGTCGTGAATATCGCTAGAGTCGTGGGCCAGGAGTGGGGGGAGAGAATCGAGAGGGATTCGCGTACTCTGCTCGTGTTTCGAGGATATCCGCATGCTATGGCGGACGTGGACTGACAATGCGCATCTTCCTTTGCTGTTTTAGGTTGGTTCTACTATATCTGGTTCCTCGACGGAGGTCGCCGAGTGGTTCTGCCGCATTGGGAAGCGTGTTCTCAGTGCGTTGCTCAGATAGTTCGATGCTATTTAACACGTGTCTTTCTTGAATCACTCGAGTCAATTACTAAAATCAGTGCATAAAATTGAGGAATTTATCACTGTTTGTTTCAGTGATGCTTCGGGCTACTGCTACTGCTGTAGCGGTAGTGGTTTCGGGGCTGCTTTTTTTTCACTTTTTTCGCAAAAAAATCGCGCCCGCGCGCGATTTTTCCGCGGAAAAGGAGCCGCCGATCCGCGCAAGAAGGGCCGCCGTCGCCCCCGGGCGGGCCGCCGGTTCTCGGGGCGCCCCGAGGTGGCTCCTGGGTTGCTCCAGGATCGTCGAGGCTGGGCATTCGAGGCCGGAACCCCTTACAGGGCCTCCGAGCGGCTCGCGCGGTTCCCCAAGAGCCTTGCGGGGGGGGGCGGGCGCCAATCTTTCCCCAAAGGGGCCTCCCGGCGTAGTCCCGGGCGGCTCCCGCGGCTCCCGGGCTGTTCGGGGGCCGATTTGTGACGCAAAAGGGCGGCCCCGGCGGCTTCAGAAAGATCCGGCACGAAGCATGCTAATTCGCGCGGGATCCGAAGGCGCCCGGCAGCCAAAAAGCAGGCCGGCCCCCAATGGCCTTCTGAATGAGAAATCAGCCGCAGACGCGGCTCAGCCCGGCCGCCAATCCCGCGGGGCCCCTGTACCGATGAAGGCGGTGCTGGTGTCGCTTTGTGCGCCCCCTGCAAACGCGCAGCCACATTGGTACAGGGGCCCCGCGGGATTGGCGGCGCCGCCGTTCTTTCGCACCGGCCCGCAAGGCCGCCGCAAAGGGGGCGCGGCTGCTTCGAGTCAATACTTTGCCGCGCGGCAAGCCGCGCCCGCCAGTTTCGCGACGTAATGGGCTACCGTATACCAATACCCTGCCGCGCGGCAAGCGCGGCACGCCGCGCCCGCCATTTGTTTCCGCGACGTATTGGGTTACCGTAAGCCAATACGTCGTCGGCCGGCGCGCGGCATTTCGCGCCCGCCATTTCCGCGACGTATTGGTTTACCGTAAGCCAATACGTCGTCAGGCGGCAAGCGCGCCAAACCGCGCCCGCCAGCTCCGCGACCTATTGGGTTACCGTAAGCCAATACGTCGCCGGGCGGCAAGTGCGCCAAGCCGCGTCCACCAGCTCCGCGACCTATTGGGTTACCGTAAGCCAATACGTCGTCGGCCGGCGCGCGGCATTCCGCGTCCGCCATTTCCGGGACGTATTGGGTTACCGTAAGCCATACGTCGTCGAGCGGCAAGCGCGCCAAACCGCGCCCGCCAGCTCCGCGACCTATTGGGTTACCGTAAGCCAATACGTCGCCGGGCGGCAAGTGCGCCAAGCCGCGCCCACCAGCTCCGCGACCTATTGGGTTACCGTAAGCCAATAGGTTGCCGCGCGCCAAGCCGCGCCCGCCAGTTCCGCGAAGGATTGGCTTTCCGTAAGCCAATACGCTGTCGAGCAAGGCGAGCAACCTCTGCCGGCTCCGGGGCGCATTGGCCTAGCGGCGGCCGCTTCTTTGCCGCCCGGCGAGTGCGGCCGGCAGCTTCCGCCAGCTCCGCCACGTGCGGGTAGTGCGAGGGCCGCCGCGCGATCCATGGCGTATTTGGCTGGCGGTGGTCAACATGCAGCCGAGCTGACACAGCCTCAGTTTCCCCTTTGCCGCCGGTGCCGCCAAGCTGCCGCCAACGCTGCCGCCACCACGTTTGGCGGCACCTTAACACGACCTGAGTCCGCGCTTTGGCCATTGCCGCCATCCAAAAAAGATAAAAAGAATGATATTTAAATATTAGTCTTTTTATCTTTTTTGGATGGCGGCAGTGGCGAAGACGCAGCGTCAGGTCGTGGTAAGGTGCCGCCAAACGTGGTGGCGGCAGCGTTGGCGGCAGCTTGGCGGCAGTCGTTCTGGCGCCATGGCGACGGCGGAAAACTGCTCTCCGCCACCAGCCGTGGCGAAGTTGGCAAGCAAGGCCGCCAGCCGGCGGCCCGCGCGACAAATTTTGCTCTGGCCTGCGCCCGAGGCAGACGGCGCCTTCGCGCCAAAAAGCTGGCGCCCTTGCGAAGCTGGCGAAAAAAACACAAAAAAAAATCGCGGAAAAAAGCCAAAAAAAAACCTGAACCGCTACAGCCACAAAAAACCGAACCGCATCACTGGAGCAAACAGTCAAAATTAGAAAAAATGGAAAGATCAGAAATGTGGTAAATGACCTTAAAACTGCAGAATTTCATAAATATTACAGATCAAATGTGAAGGAGTGAACTATATATTTTAATTTCACGGAAGAAATGCACTTAATATCCGCAATATTTTTGATATTTTTTAAAATTTTCAATTTTTTGAAAAAGTGAAAAATTGCGCCTCTGATGTAAATAGTGCAGCTGGCGTCTTATAATGCTTGTAACTGGGAACATAAGGACAGTTCTGTGCCCTATGATCCTGTGTAAACACTGAATCCACAAAAACTTATATATTTTTTCAATTCTTGAAAATTGGAAAATTTTGAAAATTCTACAAATGTGGTGCACAAACTAGAATGCCTAAAGCAAATCACAATGCGCGGAGTTTTGCTCTATGGATGTAGCGTGTATTTTCATGAACAAAAATCATCCTACCCTATAGTGGTAATTTATTTATTATTTTTGAAAATTTAAATTTTTCAAAAGAGTGTGGAAGGTCCTCTTTCAGGATCCTTCATGGGATGCCAGCTAGTTGGGCCTCTTTTTTGTCACTGTGTGCCTCCTTTCAAGCGCATGGACCTCATGGAGTGCGCCTGGGATGTGTCATCTATACTTTTGGAAACCCAACAAAGCTTGCACTTGGCAGCCTGGCTAGCAAATCAGGCGCCGGGCGTCAACTGCCGGCTCCCGGCAGGTGACGCCTTCGAATCCGCCGCGGGGGGCTCCTTCGAATCCGCCGCGGGTCGTGCGCGCGCGGAGGGCGCCCCGAAGCGGCGGAGAGAGGCTCGGGGGCCGCCGGTCGCGGAAATAGGCACCGTGGGGGCCTTCGGAGGAAGCTTCCGGCCCCGGTGCAACAAAGCGCCGCGGGGCGCGCTACCCGAGGCCCCGGGCCCCCTTTCCGCCGGCGGGGGGAATAGATTCGCCCGCGCTGCTTCCGGCCCAATTCGCAAGAATTCCGCAAGCCGGCGGCGCGTTCCTCAAATTAGCACGCCGGGCCACCTGGCCTGTGGTTTTGCGCCCCGTCTCCGCCGAAGAAAAGAAATCAGGGCCACCGAAGACCTGGTGGTCCCCAACCTACTTGGAAAAAGTTGGCCAAGGTTTAGCGGCCGGATTTGGAATGGCTGCTTTGTTCGCCCGGCCCCAATGCCCGACAGAACCGCCGCATTGGGGCTCCCGTGGCACGGTCTTGCCCCCTTCCCCCCCCCCCGACGAAAGCGCCAATGTCTGCGGAGCACCACTGCGGTGAATTCTGGCCAAATTCGCAAAAAGTTTCAGGGTATTTCATCCGGAACAACCCCCAAAAAATCCGAAACGGGATGCCGTTCGCTGCTGCTCTTTCTAGAGTTTTGCGCCGTCATTCCACCTTTCGCAAGATTTTGGGCATACTCTCGGCGCATTTTAAAACCTTACAAAAGCTCCCCTTTGGTGCGCCATTGTCACCCGGCCCAAAAAAATCTTACCAAAGATACCACTTGGGGCTGATTTTCCTATATTCTTGTAACCAAAGCGTGCGCCGGCGCTTGGGGTACGAGAAAGAAAATGCGAATGCAGCACTGGGAATTCTTGTGAAGGTGGAAGGGGTGATGTTGTGGAGGCAGAGATGAATAATTGGGAAGGAATTATTTGGGGGAAATGCAAGGAATATGCGGCGGAGTTTCACCGCACGGTGGTCAAAGAGGGAAATGTGAAAGTAGTACCAGTGTCAAGGAAGACTCCACATTTCATACAGCTGTGACTGATTGATCACCACCTCAAGGTGAAGACCACGCGCCTCATCCTGATTCATTCCGCCGGACTAAGCAGTTTTTTCCGCGTCATCAACACGCACCGCCGATGAATTCGCGACCGCACGGGCGGGGGGGGGGTTGGAGGTGGGTGTGGTGTGGCTCCGCGACCTGCGGTCGTAAATTTTTACATCCACCGACATGATCGTTAAAGAACTCAACCGATATGAAAAAGAAAGCAGTGAACAGCACCGACCTAAAAATGCGGAATAGAAGAAGAGATAGAACACCGAGTGAAGGAAGATACTATGATGAACACAAATTCAAAATTGCGAATGTGAAGTCCTCGTTGAGAAGATCCAAAAATGAAGGAGATCAGATCGATGCAAAAGAAGAAGATCATACTTTTCCACGCAGGAGCGCGGAGTCGGTCGCAGTCCTGGCACTTTCTTTTGATCCATGATCCTTCGTATGTAGTGAGGTCACGAACGTTCTAATCTAGCGGTTTTTTTGACAGGCAGTGCGCAAAACGACCGGCAGTTATCAAGCGGGCGGAAGTGTTTTTGGGCATAAAAAATTTTCAATTATCAAGCAGCCGGGGCTTTGCCGTCAAACAAGCCCGAGCGGATTCTATCGATTCCCGCTTGATAAAACGACGCAGGGGAGCCGGCAAAAGGGGCGCCCTTCTGAGGCGCCCACCGCCTTAGTTTCTGGCGGTTTTGGCCGCCCAAAAAGGGGCGCTCAAAAAGCAGCAGTCCGAAAAAAACAGCGAAGCCGCATAGTATGGGCCCCATTTTGGCCCACATCCGAGCCGCCCAAAAGACGCCACCAAAATCCGCCATATCAGAGGCGGACTTAAGGCCAGAAGATGAGGCATCTTAACAAAAAAAACCAAAAGAAACAAAGTCAGCCAAAAGCAAAAAGCGAATCCGCATGCTATTGGCCCGATTTGGGGGCCCATGGGGCCGACCCGGGGGTGGGGCCTGGCGGGGCCATAGCATGCGGGGAAGGTTTTTCGATTCGAAACCAAATGGAGGCCAGTTCTGGATCGACATTTTTAGCGACCGCCGTGCCGTCGTGCATAACATTACTCACGATGGCACGGTGGGCAGAGAAGTCGCTTCTGTTTTTAGCGTGAAGACAAAAAAACCGCCATGACCTCACTACCCCCGCTGAGGCGGCTATTATTGTACTTATCCATGCATTTTTTCACCAAGAATATTCCAGGCTAAAATTACAAGTAGACTATCACCTTACAACTACTTACCCTTTTTAGCGCTTTCTAAAACAACTACTAAACACAATCTACCATCTATAAGCTTTTTGTTTTCATTCTAGCTCTAACATCGAACGACTCAAGCGGAATCCACGAATGATCCACGGAGAACGAACATACAAACAGCTTTTTCATTCTCAAAAATAAGAACATGCCCGCGGTAAATTTAGCTTTCAGTAATCGGCTCTGTCTGTGTTGAGAAGCTAACACTTGGCCCACTAGCACTATTGGTTCATCTGGAAGCCATTTTGGTCTTCGTTCAACATCAGGAAGCTCACGACTAACACGACGATTTATTATGAAACAAAAATTCTATCAGGATGTTGCGCGGCTTTCTCCTCGCTGCAAAAGCGAAGCATGCGGCTAATACCGGCACTCCGTCGGGCCCCCGCACCATCGCTTTGTTTCCGGAGATTGTGCCAGGTCGATTTGGGGATAAAGGCTTCTTTGCCCTGAAGAGCATCCGGGATGTCACCGCGGTCTATGACCCCGACTCGAAGTCGAATGCGTGGACGGAGATGGTGTGGCCAGAGGACGGGCCCGGGGCGGCGGGCTCCACTTCTGCGGCAGCGGCGGGAAGATCCGCCTCTGCGGCAGCGGCTGCTTCGGCTGCCGAAGGCGACTTCCACCAGGAACTGCTCCCAACTGCCACAGACCCCCCCGTGGACGAAGTAGAGAACCAGAAGTGGCGGTTTGGCGTGCGGGCCTTTGAGGCTTTTCATGGCTGGTTTCAGCAGGAGTATCCAGGAAAAATGCGGATCGACCCGGACGTCCAATTCAACGGCAAACCTAAAACACCGAGGACACCAATCCAAGTATTCATCGACGCGGCAATAGAACACGTGGTGTCGCGGTTCAGGCAAAAAGAAGTGGTGCAGGTTGGAAATGTGAATACTGGAGGTGGAGTATCAAGTGCAAAAGTGTCTGGGTCTGGAAGAGTGGGACTTGTGATGCTGTCTGCGGATTCTAAAAATATCTGTGTTGCATGCGCAGGAAGAGGAGTCAGTTCTACTTGGCACGCGGAGAGGGCATTTGTAATGCGTAATAAGCATCAGGAAGCTCTCAAAAAATCTGTGATGCTAGCACGAGCATCACAGACTTGATGGGTCATGCAAAATGTGCATGACAAGCCCCGACTCTTGTTCCAGACCCCGACATATTTGCAGTTCATAAGGAGCAGGAAAGTACCGGTACGTCATCGTGTTTCGCCCCGCGGCGGAGTCGCGAGCACCGTTTCGGGCTCAGAAGGCGAATTCCGCGGCCCTCCCCGAGCCTAGACAGATGGAAACCACTCGAGGGAATACCTCCGGAACAACGACGGCCCCCGGACAGCAGCACCCCCGGGAGGCGCTTGTTCCGGGCCGAAGCTCCACCATCGCTTTGTTTCCGGAATTCGTACCAGGCCAATATGGGAGAACAGCAACAGACCTCATTCATCTGAAGAGCATCAGGGACGTCACCGCGGTCTATGACCCCGCCTCGAACGCGTGGACGGAGTGGGTGTGGCCAGAGGCCGGGGATTCCGGAGCGGCGGGCTCTGCTTTTGCGGCAGCGGCGGTCTCCGCCTCTGCGGCAGCGGCTGCTTCGGCTGCCGAAGGCGACTTCCCGGAACTGCTCCCAAATGGCACGGTCCCCCCGAGCAAAGATGTTGGAGAAGACGAGAACCAGATGTGGCGGTTTGGCGTGCAGGCTTTTGAGGCTTTTCATGCCTGGCTTCAGCAGGCGTATCAAGGGGAAGGGCGCGGCATGCGGATCGTCGACTGCCGCCGATTCGAGGTCTTTGACTTCGAAATCCGAAGCGGAAAAAAACCTATAACGCCGAGGACGCGAGTCGAACTGTTCGCAGACGCGGCAAAAGAAGGTGTGGGCTCGCTTTTCAGGCGAAAGGCAGTGGTGAAGGTGGAAAATATCGGTAAAGAGATGATGCAAAATAAATCCGGAGTAGCTCCTGCTCTCGGACATCAATACCAGTACGTCATCGTGTTCCGGGATGCGGAATCGCGAAAATTGCTTCGGAAGCCGCGCGAGGTAAAGATGCAGGTGACGTTGAAGGTCTTGGTTGATGCGGAGCGCGGGGAAAGGACCCCAGCAGGAGATAGAGCACCTCTTTCGCACGAATTAGTCCTCCCGCTCGGTTCGTTACCCCTGGAGGTGAGCAAATCTCAGGGCGACGCACTAGTTATGGGGTATAGATTATCAAGTGCAATAAATATCCCTGGATGTCTGGAAGAGTCATGCTGTTTTTGCATGACGCAGAAGGGCTGGCATGGAAGCTCTAGCGTCACAGGTTTCGAGAAGCTTCCGTAATGCCTAATCCGCACGACAGGCCCCCCATTTTGGTGACAGAAAGTGGGCAGCTTTTGCTCCCTATGCGTGAGAGATTTTGAAATGCGCGTCACAAGTTTCTCTTCTTCCAGACCCAGACATATTTGCAATCCATATACATTGGCTGATCTCCAACAGCGGGCGGTGCGGTATTTGAGCGGCTCCGACGGCCGCATTGCTTTCCGAAAAGCTCCGGATATCAAGCTTCCGGTCTTCGACGCGGGTGGCGATGCCTTCGAAATCAAGCCGATTTTTGGAGCTGCTGCGAAAGGAAGGGTAATTGGAGGTGACGACAAAGACGGCGTTCACACTGCTGAGCGTGATGTTGATGCCGCGTGCATGCAAGACAATGAAACCTTGGGCGCGTTTCTAAAGCGCCACGGCGAAAAAGCCACGCTCTTCTCCGAGAACGACGAAGGGGACGACCAAGAGCCGCTAACCCTTCGTAGCGAGATTACGTGGTACGAAAACCGGAAAACAACAAGCGAGGAGGGTCGAGAGAAGGCGTTGCTCTTGCGCATGATGTTCTCCTCGTCCGAGGGTCGTCCTTCTGGAGATGCCGAGGCCATTCTAGAATCGGTTGCCGGGAAACCTGAGTACGCAAAACTGTTGAGCAGCGGGGAGTTTTTCAAAAAAATCCGACCGATTGTTCAACCAGGGAGTGCGGTGTTGAAGTTTGCAAACGAGGCTTTGTTTCACCGGAAGCCGGAGGATTGGGATAGGATGATTCTGGAAGCTGTGCAGGAGAACGCGGGGGAATTTGCCCACGTTCCAGTGTCCGTCTGGGAGGATCCCACGAACTTCTTCCGCGAATTTGTTTATGTGAAAGACGAGAGGAGCAGCCAGTACCCCACCCCCCTGGACAAACGCAACTGGTTCGGACACATCGTGAAACACTTCCCCGAAGCGCTGGCACACACAAATGAGAAAACGTTGCATCATGAAATGTTCGCGGAACAGCTCCTGGAAATGAACTTCGACCTCGCAATATGAATTTTGCAAACATGTCTGGGTCTGGAAGAATGGAAGTTTGTCATTGCTTGTCTGACATGATTCTCAAGTCTGCCATGTGCATTACCCAAAAGCTCCATTTTTCTGTCATGCAGAAGCTCACTTTGTCATGCAGAAACACCAAGACTGTAGCACCCCCAAAACTTGTCATGCTTGCCAGTCAATTGAGGCGTCCTCGTCTTTCTCAACCAGCATCACAAGTTTCCAGACCCAGACATTTTTGCATTTGATATGCAATGCGGTACCTGCCCCTGCGGAACGACATGAGGATCGCGAAAGTCGCGCTCAAATTCATCGTCGGGTCAGGGATATTCGAATTCCGCGTCGCAAGAAGATCAATCGAGTGGCAGAGAAAGGCGCTGGATGCTTTGCTAGCACGCGTGGTGCAGGGTCGTGATCAGACACAGGAGGAGCACCACAGTGCCACACATCAAGAAGAGGAAAAAAGAGGTCGTCCGCGAAGGACGAGATCTTCAACTCCGCGAAAGAGATCTGCATCACCTCCGCGACGGAGATATCAGCTGCAAAAATGTCTGGGTGGTCCGGAAGAATGCAACTTGTCATGCCAAATCTGAAGCATGCAAAAATCTGTGTTGCATGATGACCAAAAGTCGTCCAGTTTTGACCAAGTCGGGAGGCAGTTTCTCATGCAGGATAGGCATGAGAGAGATCCTCGCGCAGAATCTGTCATGCTAGGTCCTGCATTCCAGACCTCATGGGTCATGGAAAAGCTGCATGACAGGTCGCGCACTCTTCCAGACCCAGACACTTTTGCATTTGATAGGAGATCATCTACTGCAAAAAGAAGACGATCGGCGACCCAAGCGTCTTATTTAAGTGACGGAGAAGAGGGTGAAAAAAGAAGCAGATCTACCTCAACCAGAAGACAAGAAAGGAGATCAACAAGTAGAACTCCGGATCGTCGCTCTGTGTCTACTTGTCGTGCTCGAATGGAGCAGATGGCGCTGGTGGGGCGACGAGATGGTGGAGAAGTCCAAGCTCCCGTAGTAGCGGAGGTAAATCCTGGGAAAAGCACCGCAGCTCCTGCTGCTGAGGAGGACGATGCTGATGCAAAAGACGTTCGACGAGAACGCGCGGCCCGGTTTATCCAACACGGGCTTGCGTTTTGCGCGGACTTCAAATGCAGAGAACAAGAAGCGCTCAAGCGCGTGCTGGGAAAAATTTTCACTGGAGCAAGGGCACGCCATGGAGTTGATGTCCGTGATCACGAGGACGCGATTGCGGTGGCGGCGCTCCGTCCCGACAAGTTTTTGCAGTCGCTGTCGTTGGCCGTGGGAGGAGGACGAGAGAAAGAAAATTTCCCTCGGGACTTTGTCCTCGCAGTGTGCGCGCGAAACGGCACGGCGCTCCAGTTCGCGTCGGAGGCGCACAAAAACGACCCGGAGATAGCGGCCACCGCAGCTTCTACTCCTGCTACAACGTCGGTTGCTGGACAAGTACGCCAAGGACCAATTTCCTTTTTCGAATGGCTTGAGTCGAGGCAAGAGCTTGATGTCGGTCGAGAGCCGATTCCCTATTCCTGCAGGGTCGAGGAGGTAGCCCGACGCGGTTCCGAATATCTGGCGCCGAAACCTGCGAAAGACCAGATGCAGCAGTGGGAACACAAGTGGCTCTTTCTGCAGCTCGTGCAAATCGTGGAGAAACATACGCGCGTTGCTAGTGAAAGAGGACCATCAATGAGCCGCTTGGTACCCGATCACGCGGTAGGCAACAGAGAATTTAAGGATGAAAATAACTTTATCGTGTGGCCGGAAAACTACGCGGACCACTACATCGGGGAACATGACGTGCCCCCGACGGAGCTATCAAATGCAAATATGTCTGGGTCTGGAGGAAAGCAGGTATTATTTGTCGTGCACATTTTGCATGACCCATGATGTCTGTGATGCATGCCCCAGCGACGTCAGCGTCACAGGTCTACTGAGTGCTTCTTGATGTCTGTGATGCATAACAAGTGCCCTCTCCGCGTCGCAAGAAAGCGAACAACTCTTGGTAATACTCAAGCAATACAGATAGATACATTTTTAACGATTTTTTTTTGTTGATTCCAAACGCAGCTGCACAAGTTGCACTCCGGCAGAAATCTTCCAGGGATATTTGCAATGCATAGGAGCGGTTTGTGCACTACATCCGGTATCGCGTGGAACAGTTACTGGCCAAAGGAATTGTGAACGATTTCGCCACCCTGCCGACCACAGACTTTCACGATTATGGGAGTGCACAACGCTGTCCTTCCCCTCATTTGTCATACAAAATCCGCAATTTTTCCAGTTGTTACCTTGTGTCACTATTATGCAGTACAAATTGTGGAAGCCGATTCAGTAGCAGTGCTACTACACTCAGCGCATGATAAATGTTGAACTTGTCAACATCTTGGACATAGCACCCACCTGTGGATTGGCGTTTGTAGTTCTGTTCATCGAGGACTGCATAGAAATGAGGGGGAGGACCACGGGGGCTTGTGCACTCGCATACCGATCCACCGGTGGTATTTCCCCCGACCCCGATCCCCGAGACATCGTGGAGGCTGCTGCGACAGTATGGGAAATTCGAAATATGGCCGGAAGGCTACTGGGCTACTGGGCGCTACTGATCGAAGCGCGGGCGGAACTACTGGATGAAAAACAAAATGAAAGACCGAGAAGCAGCTCGAATGAGAACGAAAGCGACTTCTACACGAGGACGCGCATAAATCCTGTACTAGGTCAATTGAATTTCTAGTCCACTGTTCCCCCTCGCCGATATATTTTCTACTAAACTTGTATTGTATAATGTATTTTTTACGCGAAGACCACAGAGCAGTAATATTTTTTTATTGTTCTCCCTTGTGCTGCTGCACGACCAGGATTGCGAAGCCGATCGAGAAGTGGTATGATCTTTAGAGAACTAAATTTGCAGAATTAGCAATTTTACTAAAAAACTACATCAAGAGCTCTTTTTTTATTTTTCCCACGTAGGAAGATCAAGATGAGTCCCCTGTGGGATTATATAAGTACGTAAGAGGCAGCAGGAGGAGGACCACCGCGAACAACAACGAGAGTCGCATGCAGTTTCTGTATCGAACTACAACGAAGATGAAAACCTGGGCTTACGACCGAAATCGTGATGCACGAAGATCAAGAACCACCTGAAGCATAATTGTAAGAAGTACCACTGTAGTGAACGAGTGCCGATTACTTTGAAGTAGTAAGAGCAACTTTATGCATCAAAGTTATATTTTTAGATGACTCGACGTCTCAGGAACATCAAAGGTCTATAGGTTTAGTGTGGGGGAGATTTCAATCATCATTTTTATATAGAGCCTGACGCTCGCGGACAAATTTATTGCATATCGCTTTCGCCTGTGTATCCAACCGACGCGAAGAAATTTCTCAGTAACGGCGGGTCACCGATTTACCGACCAATCTAGTACTAGTACCAACGAATCATGTCTAGCACTACTAGGGGTCGAAGTAGAGAGGGCACAACTTCTTTCTTGCAGCCCGAAAACGTCATCTGGATTAGTAGCTTGCAGCCCTACACGAGTGAAGTAGTTCTTTGGAGCCTGGTGCTCTTTTGCATCTCCGATCCATGATTTTCTTCACCTTTTATCTTTGTAGTACCCAAAAATGCAGGTTATTTTTTCGCTTCGAAGGATCATATCTAACTGTTAATTTCTACTTCGGACATAAAAATACAGGCACAGTGCCAGTAGCTGTTTGAAGTAGAAGTAGGTGCGACCATTGTACTAGCCTTTATTGGGGCGAACAGTGCAGAAAAGATCGTGACTGCATCAGTTTCGTTTTTCAAGGAAAGTCCATAGTGGCGGGGCAGATGCATTTATTGTTTATCCTTTGTTTTTTATATTTATTCGGAAAAAAAAAGATGAATGTGCCAGCCTCTATAATTGTTTACCCTTTCGCCGGGGACCGCTCAACCTCAAGAAAAAGAAAACAGCCTTGCTGTTGCTCACGCTTATTTGAGGCCGCTTATGAAGGTTTGTGAACCGGAGGATCATGACTATCGTGATCTTCCGTTCCAACTGCACGAGGCCGATTTTGAAAATGCTACTAAGATTATCGCAGACCATTATTTTGTGTGTATGATCTATATTTAAGGACCTGCAACACCGTGTAAGGACGAAACATGAGGCATCAGGGGCCTGCTAAGGGCGTCACTCAGGAGTACCGCGTAAAAGCTACAAAGAAATGCCAGTGGAGTACAAACTAGTAAACGCTTGCGCGCAGTTGCTGCGGAAGAATGCTCCGGGAGAATCATGAAGATTCCGAGTTGTAAATCTTAGCTGGAAAATAAACCAAACGAGCAAGATCGCAGCCAGGCATTTTTTCGAGGCATGAGATGAAGGGAAGGCGCTGTCTTAAGGTCCTCGTATACTTTTTCTGATGTATGATGATGTATATTTATCGCGCAGGTAGTACATGCGGACCCAGAGTCAGAACAGGGACCCTGGCATGTTCTCCAACAACGTGTTCCCTTGCTTCCTCAAGGTCACGCGAAATAAGAACACGCGACTTCGCCACGAAAACAAAATCATTGTGATCTTGTTTTCGTTTTTTTCTCGACAAATGACCCGACGCCACGTCGGCTCTACTGTGCAGCAAGTGTGAAGATTTCAGAAAAATGCAAAACCTGGGCCTCACCCCAGACTCCTAGTTGACTCTTTATTTTTGAGCTTCCTCTGAAAGAGTTTGTCACCTGGAGTGATTTGAGTCCTGTGTCCAAAACGAAAAGAACAAGCTCGGTTGAGTTTCTACTCGGTTCAGAGATAAATTGAGAAACCTGAAATGCCCGTATAGAAGCAGAAGGGCCACCTTTTTTTAATTTTATAGGATCATCCACAAGATGCGATTTCAAGTAGATGTGTCAAAACTAAATATCGCAAAATCGACTGAGCAGTGCTCCCCCGTTTGGCCGCGCAACCTCTTTAGCTTTAGACTTCCCGCAGATATTGAAGAAGCGCTAACGTTATCCTGACGTCCGAGCGTCCGACGTTCAAAACATGTGCGGCTGTGAGCCTGGTGTCTCATGTCTCATGTCTTGGAGCCGTGTCATGACATGAGGACACGAACATGGACATGACACGGCCGTTTTCATGTCCATGTCTTCATGTCCCGACATCCCAAACCAGGACATGAGACATGAGACATGGCCAATGTTCATGCTCATGTCCCATGTCCG